AGATTAAAGTTTCTAGAAATTCTTTTAAAAAATTAAGCTATTTCATCTTATAATTACATAAAACAAAATTCAATATTAGGGGTTTTCCATTTGAGACCTATGGCGATAAATTTATATAACTGTAACAATAATAATATAGCCATGTACATAAATGTAGAAAATTAGAAATAATAGTTGATATATTAACATTTTTCGAGTAAGCTTTAAATTTGAAACTGACTCTTCAAAATATCTCACTAAAAATGGACAGAAAAAAAAACAAAGTTCCAAGAAATCGGAATGCGAGAGGGATGAGAGAGTGTAGCATTCCGATAATCAGGTTAGCCAATCAAAAGTTAAAAATCGGCATGCGCGGCGGATTTAATTTTTTTTTAGCAACGCTTCGGGGCATTGAGCAAAATGTGAGACGCAATAGATCATGACTCTTGATAACTTGCCGCCTTCCTTTTTTTTCGTCATCCGTTTTCTTGATCCCACATTTTATCACGTTTGATGATGGGAGGTGAATCTTTTATAGAATTGCGGTAGTTCTTGAAATTTCTGCGGATTACGTGGATATTTTCATAATAGTACTTTGTGTGAAAATTAATTGGATTTTGATATAAAGAGATAAAAAGTTTTGAGATAATACCTATTGTTTCCGACGTCAGAATCAATTTTCAAAATAAAATTCTGGAAATGTGCTTTTGGTATTTAAATTTTACACAAGCAGGAAGTAAAAAGTCAACGGCAAAGAAATTTGAAAACAAAAAATTATTAAGCAAAATGGAAATTAGTCCGAGGGAAGTATAATTCCTGAGTTCATGGGTCAGGGTCACTCATTATTCCCAGTTTGGATGCCATCGCGACCGAAGAACATGATGAAAACCAAGAATGAAAAAGTTGTGAACCAAGCTATTGACCTGGATTCATAATTTGATTGATGTCAATCAAGAAAGAAGCACAAATTTATAATTTCAACTAATAAACAAACATCACCTTCTTAATGAAGAATAATATCAGATTGAGGGAGCGCTCGGAGATTGTTAATAAAGAGGATGTCATTATTTCCGGTTAAGGTATATGTGCATCTATATTGTAAAAAAATACGTGAAAAAATATCCAGGCGGGAGAAAAAATTTCAAAACTCTCATTTATAATATATGCACATATGGTGTGTTTGAATGTCAGAAAATAATTCGGGTCGCGATGCGAATCACACCATCGACATCATCAACATCAACAGCAATGTTATTGAATTTCAGACAAGGAATCGGAAAGTTACAAAAATTGGAACGATAAAATATTAATTAATCAATGGTTTCGAAATGTTATCAATGGCAATGAAAGTTTTATTGGATTGTGGAGGAAATATGAAAAGTGTTGAATTCGATATAGAATCTCTGGGAAAACCGCAGAAAAATTTTATAGAAATAAAGGAACAGATCTCACATAAAAAATGAACTAGAAATGTTAATAATGCCTTAAAAAAAGATTGATGTTGGCCAAAAGCAAGCTTTAATTAAAACGAAAAGGAATAAACAAAGTGAGAGGCATTGCAGAAAAATTTTCAAGGATTTTCCAGCTAGGATATGTTCGTCACAGTAAAAACATATTTCGCAAACAAAAACCTTCAAAAAATTGGTAAAAATCGAAAAATCTCTAAAAAACGTAAACAGATTAAACAAAACTAATTTTAAGCAGTTTTTCCGGCCTCCCATGAGATGGTCGGACTCGCTTCGGAAGGAGATCACTACAAGAACAGCTGAAGGAGCCGTTATCACCCCGTGGTCCACCCAAGCCAAGGACCGAAAAGCTTGGAAAGCTGTGGTTCGCGCCTCAACAGGCGAAGGACGAACCGACTAAGTGACTAAGTAAGTATTGGTTGAATATGTGTCCATTTTCCTCATTTTTTCTCGCAAATAAAATTTTCTCAACACCAATCCAATATTTTCATTTTCTATCATATCAAATGGACTATGCAATTGAATTTCGCAAAACTTCTTGGAAAAAAATTTGAGTTATATTCGGGTGAGTGCGATTTTGAAATAATAACAAAGTTTGCTACTTTTCAAGACAAACTATATCATTAAAATAAATCTTAAAATAAGGACCTTTTTAACAGAAAAAAACCCCTCAATGAAAAAGAAAATTTTATCTGGAAAAAATTCTTAATAATCATATATAAGAATTATATATAACATTTTATAGAGGGTGTCATTATTCGAGACGTGATGGTCTACAGCACTTTTCAGCCAGATTCAAATTTCAAGCTTCATTTTCGAATCCATAATCCATGAACATAACTTTTTAAGTTGAAATAGACACAGATCAGAAAATTTGAAAATGGCGTCAGCCAAGACAATCACCATATGCTTGCTGTCGCGCTAACAATAGATATGCTATTAAACAAAAAAAAAACAAAGGATTCGAGAATTGTAAAGATTCTTCGACATTTATCATGACATCTTTTCCATTAGCGACAAACAACAAATTCAAATTTTCGCTTTATTTTATCCGGTTTCTGAAAACGTTCCTCGTTTAGATAAATTATATACTTAATACGCAAACTTCGTTCCAATTTACAGCGCGCTTACAGTATCGTATTTGAATTCCCACTTTTCATATTCAAATTTGAATTACCGTCTTAAAAAAAGTGCGATGGTCCACAATTATGCAAAACACTTTTTGCGACAGTAGTATTTTTATGTATTTTCGATTTTCGCAAAAATTTCCCACATATCGTCATCGCCCAAAATCTGGTGCAATGGTGTTCCGTGACTATCCCTCTCTTTCTCTCTCTCGCTCTCTCCCTTTCTAAGCTCTTATGTAGACGACGCTACCCTGCCAGTGACTCAGCGAATTCTCACGTATTGTCATCGACCGTTTTGACCACCTACTCGACATTTTCATTAATAATATTGCAAATAATTCCTTGAAATCTCCCTTTATTTTCCATTTTTTTGCTCATGATTTATCTAGGAAAACGCTCTTAGTATCTAAAATATTGTATTAATGGGATTTGAATATTACGAAAAGGGATTTTTGGCATCTCTCTATGTGTTGTAAATCACGCGAACTGAATAAGCATAAGTTTCTATTAATATAAAAGGCCCAGATAGTTATTGCTCCAGAATTATTTGACCTCTGACAAGTTAGAATTGTCAACAATTTTGTTTATAGATTCCTTAACAGAGACATCTAATTCTTGTTACTAGTCAAGTTTTATCAATACACAAAGTGTGAAAATGTTATGGCATATGCTAAACACCTTAGTGGATTTCGCATCGTTCACTATTTTGCAAGTTCTTATGATTTAATAGCCCTAAACGATTTTAGTTATTTAATTTCGCATACTTAATCATGTGGTTATTTAAGACGTCGTATCTCACATTTTACGGCATTAATGCTTTTGAAATACAAGAGTTCTGTGAGAGGAAAGGCAATAAAAACTACGACAATCTTGTGTTTCTATACCATTTACTGGCATCTCACTATGCAGTGGTTTTGTCTTCCCGAAAAACGTTGATGACCTAGCGTATTCGGTTTCTCTTGGCTGCCCACACCCTGTCAGTGAGCTCTCGTTTAGCCGCTTGCATGTTATAAACATCTATCTTACTATATATTGGTAGATGAGGCGTTCTATGGCGCATGGTGTTCTTCCAAAAGACGTGTGGTGCTCTAGCGTATTCCCTGACAAACCTGTTCTGTTGTGGTGTCTTTTGGCTCCCTTGGCAACCATAGCGTAGATAACCCCACCCATCCAGCAAAACGCATAAACGGCGTCGGACGTCCCTGTTCTGCTCGGTATTTCTGCATTTGTTCGCTTCAGGCCTGACACTGGATTTTATCAGCTGGGTTTCTTTAATATATTCTTTTTGTATAGGTTTGAACTAGTATTAAATGTACTGACTGTGTCGATCTCCTCAATTTGATGAGAATAGCAATTTTCCACAGGTCAAGAATTTCGAAAATTAATTTTCCTTTATTTTCCGGGGGTTAAATATCAGTAACACCTTACCATTATACGTCATACTTTCTAAATATTGACAAAATAAAAAAATGTGTTGGTTGCGGTTCTAATAATCCCAAATCTGCCACCTTCAGGGTACTTGCACATTGCTATGTGTTGACACCTGCATTCCGTAACACATACGAGGGGTTTCAAATTTTTCAATGTTTCCTGCGGCCTAGCATTGCGCAATTTTTTCAAATAAATTGCGTCATACCAAAAAAAACGTCTGGCGTCGGCGTTTACCCGTTGAGCGTCTGGCGACGAAGCGGCTTCGTTTGATGCATCAGCTACGATAACTGAGGCGACTCTGCTCGTCCAGAAACACGTCCCTTTTGCACATTGTCAACACCGATCCTCATCGGTCTCCGCAGCGGCCAACTACTCGATATTTCTGGTTTTGCACTTGCATCGTGTGACCTTTGTAGAGCTCAATTGATTTAGTTTTATTTTTCAAGTTCATATTCTTTCATATTTTCATTCCATTTAAGCTTCTCGTATTGTTATCTCAATCTTCAAAAATAAGTTTTTTGAAACTCTACCAGAGAATGTGCAGCTCGTAATCTTGCAAACTCGTTATTAAAATTGAACCTGACATAAACTTTTCAATATATTTTTCGTTTCGCCAAAAATAATTTTATAATCGTTGATGAGAGAAATTCAAATTGGGCGGTGCGGTTCAAAAGAGTAATCCGGCTCAGAAAAAGAACAATAGGATCTAATTGGTTCATTACCCCTTCACATGAACATATACCAAGCATCCACGCTAATCACCGTAATTTCTAAATCATTATTAATTTTCGAGAACACTATGAAATTCTTCCTATTTAATTTCTTGTCCCTTGAGGAATATCTAATCATTTACCTAATTATGATCAAATACGTATGTGTGAATATTTTTTTCTTCTTAAAATACGCATCACTTTGTAATTTTTCTTCTAGTTAACCGCATCTTATTTCTTACCTTTTCAATCATTCCACAAAATTTATTACGTCGATTATTCAGATTATGTCGACGTACCCCAATGGGGGTGAAAAGAAGCAAATATCATCGTCGCACGACACAACTCAAAATCAATCTGAAGATGCACTTTTAGTTGACAATGGCTCTTTGACTGACTCTGAAACTCAAACCGATGCTGTCAACTTGATTTTAGCAGATATGATATCTGAGGTTGTAAAAGAAGCAGATGCAGTTGAAACGGAAAAATCGGATAAAGCTGTGTGTGCCGATAATGTCAAACCTGCCGATTTCATGAATGCCGATGAAGTTATAAAATCAGCCGAAACTATGTACACAGACGGGTTTGTGGATGCAGATAACACAGCTCAAATTCAAGCTGAAGCTCACGGCGGTGCTATTAGTTCGGCTGTTAAAGTAATTGCTGAAGTTGTAAAATATGCCGAACCAGCCCAAGTTATACCAGATGCTTTCCTCGAACAAGCCGATCCAACAAACGCAGAAGAATTGCTAGAGCCAGCCGAAGCTATGAACACAATGGAGCTTGCCGGACCAGACGCTTTCCTTGAACAAGCCGATCCAACAAACGCAGAAGAATTGCTAGAGCCAGCCGAAGCTATGAACACAATGGAGCTTGCCGGACCAGATGCTTTGCTCGAACATGCCGATCCAACAAACGCAGAAGAATTGCTAGAGCCAGCCGAAGCTATGAACACAAAGGATCTTGCCGGACCAGACGCTTTCCTCGAACAAGCCGATCCAACAAACGCAGAAGAATTGCTAGAGCCAGCCGAAGCTATGAACACAAAGGATCTTGCCGGACCAGATGCTTTCCTCGAACATGCCGATCCAACAAACGCAGAAGAATTTCTGGAGCCAGCCGAAGCTATGAACACAAAGGATCTTGCCGGACCAGACGCTTTCCTCGAACAAGCCGATCCAACAAACGCAGAAGAATTTCTGGAGCCAGCCGAAGCTATGAACACAATGGAGCTTGCCGGACCAGATGCTTTCCTCGAACATGCCGATCCAACAAACGCAGAAGAATTGCTAGAGCCAGCCGAAGCTATGAACACAATGGAGCTTGCCGGACCAGATGCTTTCCTCGAACATGCCGATCCAACAAACGCAGAAGAATTTCTGGAGCCAGCCGAAGCTATGAACACAATGGAGCTTGCCGGACCAGATGCTTTCCTCGAACATGCCGATCCAACAAACGCAGAAGAATTTCTGGAGCCAGCCGAAGCTATGAACACAATGGAGCTTGCCGGACCAGATGCTTTCCTCGAACATGCCGATCCAACAAACGCAGAAGAATTTCTGGAGCCAGCCGAAGCTATGAACACAATGGAGCTTGCCGTACCAGATGCTTTCCTCGAACATGCCGATCCAACAAACGCAGAAGAATTGCTAGAACCAGCCGAAGCTATGAACACAATGGAGCTTGCCGGACCAGATGCTTTCCTCGAACATGCCGATCCAACAAACGCAGAAGAATTGCTAGAGCCAGCCGAAGCTATGAACACAAAGGATCTTGCCGGACCAGACGCTTTCCTCGAACATGCCGATCCAACAAACGCAGAAGAATTGCTAGAGCCAGCCGAAGCTATGAACACAATGGAGCTTGCCGGACCAGACGCTTTCCTCGAACAAGCCGATCCAACAAACGCAGAAGAATTGCTAGAGCCAGCCGAAGCTATGAACACAAAGGATCTTGCCGGGCCAGACGCTTTCCTCGAACATGCCGATCCAACAAACGCAGAAGAATTGCTAGAGCCAGCCGAAGCTATGAACACAATGGAGCTTGCCGGACCAGATGCTTTCCTCGAACATGCCGTTCCAACAAACGCAGAAGAATTGCTAGAGCCAGCCGAAGCTATGAACACAAAGGATCTTGCCGGGCCAGACGCTTTCCTCGAACATGCCGATCCAACAAACGCAGAAGAATTTCTGGAGCCAGCCGAAGCTATGAACACAAAGGATCTTGCCGGACCAGACGCTTTCCTCGAACAAGCCGATCCAACAAACGCAGAAGAATTGCTAGAGCCAGCCGAAGCTATGAACACAATGGAGCTTGCCGGACCAGATGCTTTCCTCGAACAAGCCGATCCAACAAACGCAGAAGAATTGCTAGAGCCAGCCGAAGCTATGAACACAATGGAGCTTGCCGGACCAGATGCTTTCCTCGAACATGCCGATCCAACAAACGCAGAAGAATTTCTGGAGCCAGCCGAAGCTATGAACACAATGGAGCTTGCCGGACCAGATGCTTTCCTCGAACATGCCGATCCAACAAACGCAGAAGAATTGCTAGAGCCAGCCGAAGCTATGAACACAATGGAGCTTGCCGGACCAGATGCTTTCCTCGAACATGCCGATCCAACAAACGCAGAAGAATTTCTGGAGCCAGCCGAAGCTATGAACACAATGGAGCTTGCCGGACCAGATGCTTTCCTCGAACATGCCGATCCAACAAACGCAGAAGAATTGCTAGAGCCAGCCGAAGCTATGGACGAAAAGGGGCTTGTCAGAAGCGATGAATCAGTCGAACAAGCCGATCGCATAAGCGTACAAGAAGCTGAGGCTGCAGATGCTCCAGATATGGAAGAACAAAATGCGAAGATTCAAAAACGAAGAAAAGGAAGAAAAACAACCAAATTTGGAAGACCGGCAGCAAACCGAAAAAGAAAGACGGAAGATGCTCAAAATGAACCTTCTGGAGTGGAAGAAGTAAGTTCACATTTCAATAATTTTTTTTGTTCTAATGATTTTTACGGATTTTTTTTAGATTAAAGGACTTATTCGCTTCAAGGTCCGATGTGTTCCAGAATTGGAAAGAACACTAGTGGAAGCATTTAAAAAAGAAACCAGTCAATCCAGTGCTGATGTCATTTCCAAGGTATTTTTTAAATTCACAACATAAATCAAAGGCTATATTTGTACATATGTTCATTTTAAAGCTTTTTCCTAGAAAAATAAAATATTATTTGACAGAGTAGAAATTTAGTAAAAAAAAAAACTGATATTGCGTTTGAAATTTTGTTTTCAATGTTTCTTAAAAACTGTTTCTTCTAGAAATTACAAAAAAAAACAAAAAAAAAATTAATTAAAATAATTAATTGAATTTAAAATGCAGTGATAAAATTTTAGATGACCGATGGAAAAGTTCTGATAACGGTGGAAAAGATTCATACGTACGCAATTTGCAAGAAACTGGAGCCCGTGTGGAAAAGGATGTGCACACGTTTCCACAATGTAATTATTTAAATATTTCGATAGAAACAATCCTTTTAATTCCAGAAATACTCATTTGAATCCACAGAGGTCACCATATATCTAAAAGATCCGTCCGAATATAATTTCGAGTAAGTGTGTACAGCACGTTTGGCATGAAATTTTCTTAAACTATTTTTCGAATCCTAAACTCAAGCTTGCATTTGCAGTATGTCTTTGTGCGGAAAATCTTTTGATGCCGAAAAGGACACGATTTCTCTGCCAGCACCGCTGACTGCTTCTTCTACTCCGCACGAAACTGATCAGACTGTCGATCCGGATGAGTCTATTGCTCCAGCTAAGAGAAAAACTCGAACTCACGTTAAAACTCGAGTTGTTGTTAAAACTAAAGCAGAAGCTCTAACTGAAGCTGAAGGACCTGATGAAGCGTCAAACGGGTCTGAGGTCCCAGCAGAAGCTGAAGCTCCATATGAAGCTGAAGCAGATGCTCCAATTGAGGCTGAAGCTCCAACAGAGTTTGAAGCCCTAGTAGAAGCTGAAGCTCGAACTGAAACGGTTGATACTGAACTTCAACATGAAGCTGTAGCTGATTCTGAAGCTCCAACTGAGATTGAAGTTCTAGCGGAAGCTGAAGTTTTAACTAATTCTGAAGTTCGGGTTGATGCTGAAACTATAGCTGACTCGCATGATCCAACTGAGGCGGAAGTTACTGAGAAAATAGCAATCACATCGGAGACAAATGACGTTAGTTCGCATTTGAAAAACTAAAACTGAAACAATAGCGTTACAGATGGAGGGAGTAACTGAAAATGCGATGACGATGAATAGAGACAAGAAAATGGAGTCGTCGGTAGAAGAATCATTTACAAAGAAACATAGAGAGGTAAGCGATTTCAATTTTATCATGAAACATGTTATCGGCGACAATTTTCAATGAGGGAAATGCGACCCAAAAATAAAGAATAGTGAATGTGTTGGTGAAAAAATAATAAATTAATAAAAAGAAGAGCTTGAGAAATGAATCAATTCTTTCAGAACATGGTGAAGAAACAAAGTTAATTGATTTTATAGGTCCAAAAGTTAAAAAGCGATATCGAAACTATGGTCAAGCAGTATCAGGAAGCAAACAAAGAACGTGTTAAATGGGAAGAAAAAACAAGAAAACTGGAGATTGGCATCGCGCTATTGACAGGCGAGATGCGAGCCATCGAGAGGCAGATAGGTGAGAGTGATATCGAATCAGAAAACTCACAAAGAAATTTTTCAGCAGATGAAACGCGAGCCAACGGAAAAGATGGACGGCAAACATCGGATGAGTGGTGAGTGGATTGAGAATTTTGACGAAAGTGGGATAGCTATGGAATAGTGTTAGAATTCTTGAAGAAATAAGTGACATAATAAAATGAATGAACAAATTTTGATAATTCACAAACGAATCAAAATATTTTGGAGCAGGTTTGTAAAAATGCACTGTATAAACGGAGACATTTTTTCTCAAGTTATACAAAGCACGGAATAGGAAATATTTGTATTAAATTAAAAAATAAAATAGCACCAATTTTATGTTGAAAAGAACAGAAAAAAAACATAATTTTCAATATGAATTTTACAGTCTGCACATGAACGAAAAATCCTTCTCTACTGCTGTCGATGAAATCATGCTGCTTGCCGCGCCTGCTAATTTGCCCGAAACCGATAACCAATATACAGAAGAAACAGAATCTCCAAATAATGTTGAAGATCCAGCAGAGGCTGAAGTTCGAGTGGATGATGATGCTCCAACTGCGGCTGAAGTTCCAACTGAACCTGAAACACCAACGGAGAATGAAGCGCCAATTGAGGGTGAAAAACCGACAAAAGTTAGAAGACGAGGAAGGGGTAAAAGACGGGCAATATTTTCGCGACTGTCTGGAACTCAAAGCCGGAAACGAAAGGCGCAAGAAGCGAACTCTGAATCAAAAATCGTCGAACAAGTTGCCATGAATTCCGGAAAGAAAAGAAAGCTAAACGAAGCAAATGCTGTAAGTTTATAAGTTCACCCTTCAAAATTTAACACAGTTCTAGCAAATCATTCATTTGTTTTTTGTGTTTATTTAATTTATCGGAAACTTAATTATGCCGGACCTTTTTAGGTAAAAGGACTTATTCGCTTCAAGGTCCGATGTGTTCCTGAATTGGAAAAACCACTAGTGGAAGCATTTAAAAAAGAAACCAGTCAATCCAGTGCTGATGTCATTTCCAAGGTATTTTTTAAATTCACAACATAAATCAAAGGCTATATTTGTACATATGTTCATTTTAAAGCTTTTTCCTAGAAAAATAAAATATTATTTGACAGAGTAGAAATTTAGTAAAAAAAAAACTGATATTGCGTTTGAAATTTTGTTTTCAATGTTTCTTAAAAACTGTTTCTTCTAGAAATTACAAAAAAAAAACAAAAAAATTAATTAAAAGAATTAATTGAATTTAAAATGCAGTGATAAAATTTTAGATGACCGATGGAAAAGTTCTGATAACGGTGGAAAAGATTCATACCTACGCAATTTGCAAGAAACTTGAGCCCGTGTGGAAAAGGATGTGCACACGTTTCCACAATGTAATTATTTAAATATTTCGATAGAAACAATCCTTTTATTTCCAGAAATACTCATTTGAATCCACAGAGGTCACCATATATCTAAAGGATCCGACCGAATATAATTTCGAGTAAGTGTCATACTTGCTAGTAAATATGGCATTACGAGATCTAACAGTTGATAAGTTTTTATTTAATTGTTTGCGTTTTTTGCTTTGTTCTCATAATTTTAATGTAATCATCTAAATACCCGTTCATCTATCTGACTTGTTTTTTATGGCAGACCTGCCCATTCACTTTTTTTTTTACTTTTTTTAGTTTGAGTCAATGTTTGCTATGAATTTTCTTTTATTATTTCTTATTTGATTCGACTAATCTAACCATAAAAATTTCCTGTATGTTTCATATGTTATTGTTATGTTTTTCGTCACTTTTGAACTCTTGAAAAGAATGAATTGCTATAAAATTGTGTTTTTAGCATAAAAGACGTTTCAGCTTGAATGGGAGTGAAAAACAAATAAGTTGGAATTATAAAAATGCTGATAGTGTGTTCTGTGCATTCATTTGCATACGCCAAGATGAAACTCAGAATGGGTTATTCTGCCACAATGTAACAAATTCACACAGTTGTAGCTTACTACCGTTTGCTTCCACAACTGCCAATGTTACTGTTTACGAAACAACGAAAAAAAATTCTTAAAAATTTAAAATTTTTCGGCTAACTTTCGAATGACATTGAACTATTAAATGAAAAATAGAATACTCTCAATCTTTGGGCTCACAATCAGCGGCTCGGACTTACTATATATTTTTTTTTGTCGTAACTAGAGTTTTATGTGCAATAGAACGCCAAGTTGATACTGCCTTGTTTAATTGTTCCTTCTGTTTATTTTTTTGGTCTCAATATGAATTACATTGTTTTTTTGTATTGAAGAGAATCTTGAATTTTTTTACACTAAAAAAATTGGATTGAAATTGAAATTTTTTCTATATGAAATCTATATAAATTAAATATAATAGAGCTGACTAGGGAAATATTCTTCTTATTGAACTTTCGATATTAGTTTGACCTTTTTTTTAATTGAAGAGAATGTTAAATTTTTTCACCAAACGATTTTATTTTGTAATGAATAGAAATAAAATAATAATTGGAAAAAAAATAAACAATTAAATAATATCAATAAAACAAAACTCTGTAAAATTAAAATCATTCGGGTCAATGTACACCATTAAGTAGTTGATTTCTGTTGAGTCGATGAACATTGGAGCATGTCCTGTAAATCAAAACTGTGAAATCAGAAAAAACTCACGTTTGACCATATCAAACACTAATGATTACAGTCTACAGTCTTACCTCACTCATTATTGTCATCCTCCTCCAGATCTTCCTCTCCTGCTTCCTCATCCGATTCAAATCCTTCATCTTCTTCGTTGGATTCACGGCAAATCATCATAATTTTAATCAGCATTTCAGCTCTCAGATAAACCTTCTCCTCTTCATCTTCGTATTCAATTCTGAATGCAAAGTCCACGAATTCATCCATGATGGGTTCAATTGACTCGTGGTTCCAATGAATATTCCCTCCCATAGCGATGACTGTTCCGTGGACGGTGTTCAGACATTCCTCAGCTAACGCGTCAAGGTCCCATGGGTTGGTCTTTGTCCGAACTTCAGCAAAATACAACAAAATTTGGTTGACTGCGAACCATGTTTGCTCTTCATCAGTGAAGGTCTCACTAAAGACGGCAAGGCGTTCAATGGCGTTCATCTTTTTCTGTAATAGTTTGTATTAGACGAACGAAGAAATGAAAAATAACGGAAAAATGGGAAACAGAGCTCGAAAATACAGACAGGATAAAATATGACGGAAATAATGATCCCATCTTGGTATTTATACTCATTTTGTCGAGGCATTTCACACTATACGCTTACACTCCCATTTTCGCACATTTTTTGGTGCAAAAGCTTTCCAAAAAAAGGCATTTTTTTCACTTGTCAATGTTTTTTGCCACATTTGAGAATGAATTGGGTGATCATGAGAAATTTTCCCTACCGATATCGCACTAATTAACAGATCTAGTCAAAACATTATGATAGAAATTGAGACAGTAAAAAGAAAGAGAGACAGTAAAAAGAATTAATTTTTTGCAAACGTCGTTACAGAATCCACCCTATGCAGTCAAACGATTGAGTGAAAAACTAAAGTCAACGTTCAATTTTTTTTGTTTCGTTTTTTTTCTAACCATTTTCAGAAAAAGTGATAAAAAGTGATGAAAAAAACAAATAAAGAAACTGTTAAAAATCGAAAAGAAGCGATTTTTTATAAAAACTCCAGTTTTACCGCTCTAACTCCGGTTTTTTTGCTGCTATGGACATCGGTGGCTGTGGAAGCCAGAAATCTCAAAACATGTATGAAATTACAGCTATGAAATACTTAAGCGAATTTCACATCCTAAAAGTAATACCTCATTTTATAAAATATTTAATCACAAAAAATAAAATAAAAAACCTTTTTTTAATTATCGAAAAACAGCAGTTCTTTGTTTGTTTTTTTTTTTTAAACTTTAATTTTTCTCGTTCATTGAACAGTTCATTTATATTCATTAAAAAATTATCATAAAAAATGATTAACATTTGTAACTGAACGAAGTGTTAGAGGACGATATATCTGATCTTGACAGGATTGTGTGCTATTAGAAATGATTTCTTTGAAATACCGCGAACGCTAGGAGACGACCGTTTTTTTTTAGGAAGACGCCAATCACTACAGAAAATGTCATCAAAGCTTTGAAATAATAATGTCTAAGGATAATAAATTGGATAATGTGAATCGTATTATGATAACTGTTAGATGGGCAAAAAATACATAAACAACTAACTAACAAGGTATCGCACGCATGTCACGTATTGTACGCATGGCACACCAGAAGTTAAAAGATCATCAATAGCCCTTGTCAGTTTTGGCGGCATAATTTTCTCAGGTGGCCTGTCGAGTTTGCATTATATATTTACTATTTATTTATACACACATTTTGAATAAATTTTAAGTGAAATATTTATTCAAATGAACCGAGATCAATTTCATCCAAGCATTGCTGAACAGATTTGCACTTTTCTCAATATTGATGGTATCAGTGAGCGACCGGCAGTTGTAAAAACAATGTTTTTTTTTTTTATTTTTTGTAATTGAATAAATTTGGTGTGAGGTATATGAGGAATCAGTTTAAAAAATTATCTCTAGAATGAGAATTTCGTTTGAGCGTTTCATAGTGTAAGTTTCGTACGTGGAGATCATTCGATTGCTGGTTTTTCACTTTTCACATCTGCAAATGAAACATTTTAACATTAGACGTAAAAGTTTGAGAAGACACATTTTGTTATCTCATGGCTATCATTTCAATATCGTGCTCTTAAAAAATCTTCATGGATCGTCTCTGACACGTTTCGTCCAATTTTGGAATATGAACATGCTGATGATTTATTTATGAATGTTAATCATAATTTCCAATCATATCTATAATGATTATAAATAAGAAACAAAATTGCGGAAAGTCAAAAATTGGAGTTTTTTACAAAAAAAAATAATAGCTTCTTTTCGATTTTTTATTCTTAATTTCTGAGGTTTTGACTAGATATGTTAATTAATCGGTAGTGAAAATTTCTCATGATCACCCAATTTATTCTCAAATGTGGCAAAAAACATTGACAAGTGAAAAAGATGCCTGTTTTTGGAAAGCTTTTGCACCAAAAAATGTGCGAAAATGGGATTGTAAGCGTATAGTGTGAAATGCCTCGACAAAATGAGTATAAATACCAAGATGGGATCATTATCTCCGTCATATTTATCCTGTCTGTATTTTCGAGCTCTGTTTCCCATTTTTTCCGTTATTTTCCGTTTCTTCGTTCCTCTAATATAAACTATTTCAGAAAAAAATGAACGCCATTGAACGCCTTGCCGTCTTTAGTGAGACCTTCACTGATGAAGAGCAAACATGGTTCGCAGTCAACCAAATTTTGTTGCATTTTGCTGAAGTTCGCACAAAGACCAACCCATGGCACCTTGACGCGTTAGCTGAGGAATGTCTGAACACCGTCCACGGAACAGTCATCGCTATGGGAGAGAATATTCATTGGAACCACGAGTCAATTGAACCCATCATGGATGAATTCGTGGACTTTGCGTTCAGAATTGAATACGAAGATGAAGAGGAGAAGGTTTATCTGAGAGCTGAAATGCTGATTAAAATTATGATGATTTGCCGTGAATCCAACGAAGAAGATGAAGGATTTGAATCGGATGAGGAAGCGGGAGAGGAAGATCTGGAGGAGAATGACAATAATGAGTGAGGTAAGACTGTAGACTGTAATCATTAGTGTTTGATATGGTCAAACGTGAGTTTTTTCTGATTTCACAGTTTTGATTTACAGGACATGCTCCAATGTTCATCGACTCAACAGAAATCAACTACTTAATGGTGTACATTGACCCGAATGATTTTAATTTTACAGAGTTTTGTTTTATTGATATTATTTAATTGTTTATTTTTTTTCCAATTATTATTTTATTTCTATTCATTACAAAATAAAATCGTTTGGTGAAAAAATTTAACATTATCTTCAATTAAAAAAAAGGTCAAACTAATATCGAAAGTTCAATATGAAGAATATTGGCCTAAATATTAGCCTCTATTATATTTAATTTATAAAGATTTCATATAGAAAAAATTTCAATTTCAATTCAAAAATGTTTCTTGACAAAGAGCAAATAATATCACATACGAGAGCCAAACACCAACGTGATACACTTAAACATATGCAGGAGCTCGTAAAAATTGGAATTTCAAAAAGTTGCAGCTGGAATGTCATGATTTACAATTGTTGATTGGAAGATGGTGCAAATCAAATATAGAGAGCCAAGAGAAATCAAGCATGTAAAGCATCCACAAGCTGCTTGTGGAATAATTTATTTTCTAGTATTTGAACTTGTTTTCTTTGCAATTTCTTTTTTTTAAGATAATAGATAAATCAATGTCAGCATTGAAATACGATTTCAAATTGCCATATTTTGGAAACGTCTTCCTGTATGAAAAATTGTGCAACGATGTTACCACATTGATAATATTTCTGTGCGCCGTCATTCTCCTGTTGTTGGGAAACTTTGGCGATCCACTCACTTGTACCTTCCCATCATTTTACAACGAATTTTGGACCAATCTCTCACAATTAAAATGTTGGGAGCGATTCGAGACTCACATGTTCGCCGATTACTTTGAGCAGAAACGAATCGCTGAAACGATCAAACATACCCACATCTGGCTAATCATCGTGTCGCTGTCATTTTTTACTGTCAAATTGATCTATTTCGGATTTGAATGGTTTGCTGGTAAGATTTGACATGACCACAAAATGATTTTATGAATTAGCGGCATCGATTGAACCATTCTGGGGCACGACGATGAATGTTAAGAATAAATCGAACAAGGTGATAGAAATGGCAGTAAAGGAAATGGCAAAACTATTAACCGAGTACCGCGACGTTTTGAAAAACAATTTCCAATCACGGTAGGTCAAAACGAAAAATTAAAACAAATCGCAATTTTTGACAGGATAATTTTGAAATTCCTTACTATCAAAATTTTCTATGCCGCCTTTTTTGTTGGCGTTTGGTTGGCAATGTGTCTCATTATTGGGCAAAATTTCAACATCATTTGGGGAATTCAGGTGATCGAAATTGAGTAATTCAGAGCCAATCGCGGAATTCAGGTGTTATTTAGTAGACTTTTTCGCCTCACATTTTATCCGCCTGCAATTAATTTTCCGATTTTTGGATACTGTACTGTTCGTAGCGAGGATTCTCCATTCAGGGCCCACATTCTTCCATGCGATATCAATTTCAATTTGTTCAATGAATTTTTCTTTGCTCTACTATCGATTTGGCTGACGTTAATTTTTATTACGTTGGTATTGGACATTATACAATTTGGTCACAGCATTCGAACACTTTCGTACATCAAACACTTTATGAAAACGGTATAGTTTGATATTCTAGTATATATTTATATTAATATTAATATGAATGCACATATTTTTATCATTCAATACAAAATTCTAGGTCTACAAGGTGGATGCTTCAAATCTTCAAGCCTATCAGCTCCATAATCACTTTGGATTTGATATTTTCGTTATCCTAAAGGCAGTTTTTGACGTTTCTGATACGATCGGTCGTCAATTAACAGAAATGATGATTCACGGGCTCATGGAGCAGCAGACCAAAAACAATGAGGAAATTTGCAACATTTTGATTAGAAAAAATCACAATTCAATTGTGGCAAAATCTGAATCGAGTGAGCCCGAAAAGTCTACATAGAAAATAAAAATTGATGGTTTTTGTTTTTTTATTTTATACGTTGTTCTGTTATTTTATGTTGTTAAAAAATGTAATCAAGCCATTAAAGCAAAAATTGTCTCTTGTGTGACTTTAACACCTTTCAACTTTTAATTAATTAATGAACTTTTCTTTTCCTGTCTCGTACACAAACCGTACATGACCTATGCTATTGTAATAGTAACATATGCTATTGTAACAGCTTGTCGCTGGAGAAATTGGATGATGCAATCTTGTCTTATTGAAACGGCCCACTAAACTAATTTTGCGGATTCAAAAAAAGTTTTTAAACACATTTTTTTAATGTTTAGAATAATAAAAATAACACGATAAATTAAAAATTTAGTACGCTAACTCGGTTTTCAAGTAAATCGCTCGAGATATTTTGTTTTGGTTAACAGGATTCTTCGAAACATGAGCAGGATGGATCGGCAAATGAATGCAGTGCAATCCTCATAGAATTCTTCTGACAGACACACTTTCAATCTTTTCTATTTCAAAATGGCTAATATAAACTCTCGTTATATTCTTTTGTATGTGGTTTTTTTTTCTCACGTCCGGAACCAATTATGAATACACTAAACATAACGTTATGCATCAATTCTTATATAAGGCTTTTAATGATCAATTCTCTTCTCTCTTGTCCTCACATGGTTTCATGTGTGTGTGCTTAATAGAAGCCTCAATTTTTCCCATTTTCAAAGAATGCCACAAAATCATGTAATAAAGTTGATTTTCGTGTCAATCAGTTTTCAAATTCATTCGCTTCATAAAAAAATGCGCACAGCCTAATTTATCGTTTCTCTTTGCCCCATGCTTCTCTATACGTAGGGCACATTAACATATTTGGTCAACCCTTTCATTTTCCTCAAATATTCATTCCGTTTCCGTTTTTTTTCTCATTCATTTTTTGGGTGTCAATGAATGGATGCTAACGGTATTTCGTATGTTTGATACTTCAGCATTTATTTAGGTTATTCTAATTTGCAATTAATTATTTTGTCTGATCAAGATTCTCGACTCGTTTCCATCCGCTAATCCAGCGAGCAGATGCTAATCGGTTTTCAAGGGATTTTTTGTGTGTTTTGAATTCAACCCTCCTCAAATTTTATTCATAGTCTTTCAAAATCCCATCTTCAACATCGATGTATGTCGAATTATCACACTATTTTCTCCTCAATTGTTCATATAAACAATTTCGATGAGATGTTGCTACGAATGTCTCTCACTCTCTCAGCTTTTATTTCATATGATATTAAGCAGTTGCTTAGCAACATAACTCATTACCCCCCATTTCAACACTTTTCCAAACTTGCTTTTCAAAATTTCACGAGACTTTCCTGTAAAATCAACTTAAATCGCATTTCTCGATAAATGCTCTTTATTGATCTCTTTTTTTTTGCTGAGAATAGATAACATTCCTACAATATTAATGTTACATAATTGCAAATTGTTGCATAATACATATTTCACATACATACAATGAATCTACATTTACATTTGCATGGGTACTTCAAAAGAACGGCCGGCGTTTTTTTTTTTCAATATTTGGGGTACAATTAAAGCATTTGCTAGAGCATATTTGTTACAAAATACACAATAATATCAGGGAGCTTATCTTAAGAGATCTGTGATTAATAGAACAGTGAACTATTGATTAATTAGATGGCGAGGTACATTGAAAAATTTCAGGGTTTGCAACTTTTGATTATTAAACCGTTTTAAGAAAAATACAGAAAACCGAAAATGTTTAGACGATGACGGGTTATAAGGCTACTTTTCGAATTGGGACAGGGTTAGGCTAACAGACGTTTGATTATTACAAGTTTCTTCATTTGATTACAATTATTAGCTACTACGCTTTGGAATTAATATGACAATTATTAGGACTATCTTTCGATTATTTAACTTGAATTTGAAGCAGCCGCCGCATTGTTGGGTGGAATTCGCCTGGCGAATTCATAAAACACCGCGGGAATTCCATTAACCTCAATTACAATTTTCTTGGCGATGTCTCTGAAAAAAAAGAATGCCTAATCGGACAGCATCATTCAAATTAATTGGCTGTTACGAATTGGTTATAATACCTGAAACTGGACAACGATTAAAACATGTTCTATCGCCAACAAAAAGCTTGTTGTTACGGTTAAAACGCGACATTTGAATGTTATTAATTTGACACCAAAAAATGTGAATAATTTTTCTCCCACGCCGAAAATAACACATTATACCGTCAGCTCTGCTATTTGTTTTCCTCAATGAATCATCTAATTTTGACTTGTCGTAAAATGGCGAAACTCCTACGACAGCTAGATAATGTTTCAGTTATCGAAATGTTTACTTTACTTTTCCTGATTTCATATTTATTTTTTATTAAAAATTAGTGATAATGTGAACACTTACCGCTGAATTTTGTAGTCTGGAATTCTCCGCGATGCGCTTATTTGTCGCCGCTCATCTGATGGTGGCTCAAGGCTGAAATTATTCTAGATTTAATTTAAATAAAATTTTTTATATCACACCTTCTAGCTAATGAACTTGACGAGTCCGATGATAAATCTGTCTCATAAGATTGTCTGGAATTCGCTGGGCTCAAATTAGGAGTTGATGGAGCGCTTGGTCGTTTCAATGGCGTGGTATGCTTTGATAACGTTGGTGGCGGACTCATTATCACATCGTCGTTAGCTTTTGATGTTGACGGTTTCAATTTCGAAGCGTCCTCCATAACTCCAATCTCCTTCTTTATAACCGGCGGACTATTTGGTGATTTCTCAAGCGGCAACGAAAACTTCTTCTCCATTTTCAGCTCTTTTGCCATTTTTTTGGAATCCGACGGTGATTCGGAGGGCTCCTCTTTTACCTTCTTGAGATCAACAATATCCGCTGCCTCCCGTTTTGTTCGTCTCGACTCCGGCTTCGGGGTGTTTTCCTTTACGCACGTTCTCCGCTTCATCTCCTCCTTTTTCACTTTTCCATTCGATACCGGCGTACTTTTCCTAGTTGAGCTATTCGATCGTGGATTCGGTGATCCACTTCGTTGCGACAATGCCGGACTGGCTCCTCTTGTCGAAGATGCAGGCGTCAGCGACCGAAACAAGTTTTGCTCTTTTCGCCTTCTAAAAAAATGTCAAAATCGTAAAATTTCACAAAAACAGTTTTGATATTGTTTACATTTGTCTTTCCTTTTCTGCCTGCTTCAACATCATATCATGCACCGTTTTTTGCATCTCCACAACGTTCTCGCTCAGCCTCGCTTTTCTTGTCGACGTTCCGCGCCTAAAGTATATTTTTTACGACAATGTAATGTCAATATGTAACGAAGTTTGACTCTATTAAAATTTTTAAAGAATCTCTTAGATTTTTTATTTCTTATTTTCTATGAAACCTTCTTAATATCCTTTTAATTTTCTATAAAAATTCGTTGCATCGTTTTGAACTCGATGTAAGCCATTTCATTTTACATTATTCCCATTAATAACGTTGAAGACGACCATTATGCATCTGCTTTTTTCCTTTTTACGACATTCCATGTACGTCAAAAAATCTTTCCCAAAATTCATTTCGACTAGGAATTCTAATATGAAACTACAATCGTAACGTTATGTATTGCTCGAAGGAAACGGTGACGAAATTCTTGACATTTAATGCCATTCGGTCAAATCGGATATCTGGTTTCCCATGAGAAAGTGAATCGTCGATATCAATCTAGTGACTTGTAGTTCAAAGTGTTCTCTACAGTAACAGGTTCTTTGGTTTTTCATGACGCATTGATAATATAGTCAATGTTCCGATTTCGAGTGTGACTCACCTCGATTCGCACATCTCGCAACGAAATGTGTCGTATCGATTTTGAAATGTGCACGATTGACAGGCCCACGTCGCTCCATCATCATCATCGTCGCTTTCAGCCTTTCGGACCCGTTTGCGGCTCGACATCGCCAGGTCTTGTTACACCTTGTCTTCTGAAATGTGAAACGATTGAAACAATCGGATATGAGCGAAACATGTGTGTTTTTGAATAAATGAAAGCGGGATGGGAGGAGAATGCAGAAAAGAGAGATCGGTCAACGATTCGAACGCCCAAACGCAAATGTCGGTTAAAATTCGAGGGAATCGAAATAGTGTACAACAGCAAGCACTGCGCGATGCGGCGAGGAAGTAAACACAGCATTCCGATAGGTGCAAAACGCAATGCGAAAACGAGTGTGCGGTGGAGCGATGTTTGGCGACCATCCCAGCGGGTCCCATAGCGATATAGCCCCCCCCCCACACCACGCCACACCACATGCAACAATCGTCACTCATCTCGCCCTGCCAACAAATTCTAGTTATATCTGGACGTTATGCGTGGATAAAACGAATCAATGAAAAATCCTTAAAAAAACGATGAATAATTGAAAATGCATATGTTTCTTGAAAACATGGAAAAGAGTTTCAATAAGAAAAAAATGGAAGGGTCGCTGCTTAAATGGGTACGACGCTTGGTTCGTCATTTTTCAATCGTCGCAAAACGTTATGAATCACTTTTGTGCCCCATTCAACCCATTGTATCAAAATTTCACTATAGCTTTTATTTATTTTTGTAATTTTGAGCAACGCGCTCTTTCGTTATCGGAGGCCCATCGCCACGTGAAGCAAATACAGGACGGTCAACACCAGCAAAAATCCTAGAGAACATACAAGTATTTCCGATGGAATGCATAGTTAGAAGTCGTTTTTTCATGGATGAAACCGGTTTAGACCCATATAAAGGACATTTCGATGATTTCGCTCATTTTTTTGCAGAGCACGTTCTGGGGCAATAAATACTTCCTATGAATATATATTGAGCGCATATTTAATAGCTCTGCAGCTATATATTATAATAAAATGGTCTTCTAAAAGCACTATGTTGTCTATGATGTCACTTACACGCGAAAATCGGAGACTTCGTCACTAATAGCAAATATTATGAACCAAATAAATTATTCATTGAACGCATCCATGCTAAATTCATATCGTATAAATATGTAATAAAATAATAATATTAATAAATTCAAGTTCTACGCAAAAGTCATAATTATAATTAAAACCGATTATCGGGAAGCTTGACGGTGTTATTAAGGACTTCCTCATCGCTATACTGAACGCCCCTCATCCGATTATTGAGAATATCTGAACACGAAATTCTCGACAAAAGCTTTTAGCTTATTTTTTTTTACCACGGCTTCCACTATAAGTCCGCCGTCTTTCAATATACTCTTTTTTTGCTTGTTTGGCAGCGGTGTTGAACGACTTTCCAACACCAATTTGGCGGAGTCCTACAAAAACATTGCTAACGCGATATTTGCAAAGAAAAAACCTTGGATATGTCCGCTGTACCCGGCGGCGGGTATATCATTCTCCTCGCTCTGAAAATCATTAATCATGAGGCACATTAAATGTTGACGATAACGAACATCTGCCATTTCAAACCGCCTCGATTGCCGTTTTCTACTCGGCGGGCGTTGTTCGAAATTGCCTCCTGAAATGGTGTACCCGCTGTCGGCAATTTCGCGTCGCTCCTAAATCATTCGAGTTTGAGATAGTTTTCAGGAATCATTCGATCAACCTTATTCCTTTGAACTTCTCCTTTACTCCACCAGCCACTTTCTACACCATCAAATGGATTGCTTTCGACTTCTTCAATAAATGTCAAGATTGGCGAGGGCAAAGATCAACGAGTGGGCAGAGAAAAAAAAACAATTTACCATTGAATTGCCGAAAACTTGGCTCCCTAATTTTCCTTTCTTTTTCTTCTGAACCCACGAAATGATGAAAGTTAGGGTTTGAGCAACTTCCTCATTTCACCAAAAGCAATGTTAGCGAATAGGATTTCAATGTTCCCGAAAAATTTAAAAGCATTTCCTATATCGGGCAGGGGAGTTTTAAGAAAATATTTTTTTCAAATTTGCCATGAATTTGAATAATCTGAAACTTTTCCCCAGTTTTTTCACAAATCAAATTTGATACAATCAACGTATTCATGAATAATAAAATCAAAAGGGAGAAACAGGTGCATTGAAGTAAGACAACTATACAATGAGCATTATTTCTAAAAAAAATAATGGCGCCAACCAACCCTAATTATTCCATTTCCTTTTCTTCTATTTACTTTCCAAAATTAGTATTCCCTAGCATGAACACTCCGGATGTTTTTCGATGGCTTTCATCTAAATGGATCGTCCCCCAGAAAAAAATTATTTGGATCCTAATATTTTAAAATGTCTACATCTCTTTGAAAATTCCACAAAAACAAAACAATAAAAACTAATTACGCACTTTTCGGAACACTTTTGCTTCGTTGTTTGCTTTGCTCATCCATTCTCTCCTACAAAATCATTATAAAGGCTTCTTGACATTTTTTTTTCTATTCAGAGAATATACCACTCGACGCGAGCTTCTTGCATTTCCAGGTATATCGCGTTCAATAGGTCTCTCTAAAGAATTGTAAATTAGTGGCTCTACAGAATGTATTGAATAACCTTCGCGTTGGGCGCTCATTGCCAATTGAAGTTGTTGCATATTCATTTGCATCTGTTGCAATTGTTCACGTAGTTCTTCATTGGACATTTCCGAAAAATTCTTCATAGTATTTGTGTCGCTACTTGACATTTTCTACAAACGTTCAACACATCACTATTAAGGTTTCACTAATTCATTTAACAAACATCATATCCGTCCGAACCGCGTGTTCGAGCTTGCTCCAGCTCCATTCGATCATCTGGAAACTATCATCATTAATTCAAAACAGATAAATTGCGAGAAAGCAAATTAATAAAAATACGAACCATTCATTACCCGTTCCGCGTTGGAATAGCTCGGCGGCACATATTTGCTACCAACCTGCCATTTCGCTCCAGGAATATATCCAGTAAATCCTGAAAACAAAAACCAATTTCTTCACTCTTTTTCTATTAATTAACACCGAAGAAGTATGTGGTACTTATATTTCTTCATGCAAGGAAATTTTGCCGGCACGTCTCAAATTTCATGCCTAATCCCTTCTAGAATTCCTCTAAGGAGTTCACTTCATCAATGTATTATTCAATATCGATGTGCTACACCCCATGGGTTCTTTCCACTTTTTTTTCTATTTGTCTTGTAGAAAATTTGTGAACAGGTTTCTTCTTTGAAAGGGATTAAATACAAGGCGTTATGTTACTTTCTTCCAATTCCCACACGACCCCCGTTTTTCTAGCGATGCGTTCTTTCATGAGCATGAAATTTAATTTTGCGCTGAAGCATAAAAATTTTGGTTAGATTCAAGACATTTTTCCATGTTCAAAAACATTCATGACACAGCGCGCTGCCGCGTTTTTTTTTCAAACAAAAATCATCATATGTGTGCGTGTGTTATTTGCACAGCTGAAGGCAAAACATCCCAAGCTTATCGCCCTTTAATTGAATTTCATTTTTCCACGTTAGCTAGTTCAAAATAAGACTTAATCGAATCCTTATATTTGCCGGTATGAACTAATATGAGCTTCAAAAATTTATATTCTAGGACTTATCATTATCACAACACTTCTTCAGTGTAACTTTGCTACATATTAATAAAGGCTTGAAAAAAGTTTTCCAAATTACTATTGTTGATGATAAAACATACCTGTTATTGGCTGACTTCGATATCCGTTGGGCATTTTCTTTAAATATTCCGCTTGATATCTGAAACGGATACACGATGAATCTCAGAGAGCAGAGTGCAACATAAGCTACCAAAAAATGTATACATCTGAGGAGAGTGACTTCGCCAAATATTGTCTTGGTCCGTTTTTTGCCTGGCAACCGCCAGTAAACGGAGCAAGAAAACGAGTGAAGTGGAGGAGTGGGGGGGGGACCCTTTTAGTGGATCACAACCGCTTCACGCGCAATTTTTGCCTAGTTGCCGTGCAAACGGTGAATAGAGACATGTATTGAAAGGGCATTTATTATAATCGAGGGTTCCACAATTCTTTTTTGAGATAAATGCGCTTGCGTTCAAAAAAAAAGAAAATATAGTTTTTTTATGAAAAATGAAAAATGAGAAAAACGACTAACAAGACATAATTTATGCGCTAATGCGGTAACTTCCGGATTAGTTATTCATTTGATTTTTAAAGATCTTGCCGAAATTTGTATCAAGTTCCTATTGATTATATTGAAGAAAAGCTTGGAATCGTGGAAAAATTGTTGTTGATATGTCTTGGGAAAAATAATTGATTATTTATTGTCAGACAACCCAAAATAAAAATACTGTTGTGCAAAGCATGCACCTGTCTAATCCACATTCAACCATCGGTCAGTTCTTACTGGCCAGTGTGCGATAAAAATTGCCTCAGTGACCTCACCCTCTAGCCTGCTTTTTTGTTGTTCGCTTATCTATCATCATTTACCTTGCATTCAAATAAAATACCAAACTCAATCAAGCAAAGCTCATTCGGTCCCGTTCATCTTTTCTTCAATTTTTTATTTCATATCATTATAACTTTTTTTTTCGCTTTTATATTATTTTTCATACCCATCGTTTCGATTGTGCGCCGCGTGACATTCGATTTGAAGACAATTATTGTTTATTTTTTCTGCTGGCAGCAAGAAAATCAAATCCATTTAAAATACATTCAATTTTGCGCTGGTAAGAAGTTATCATCGAAATATTTTCGCATGTTTGGTTTATCGAGAGAATGAGAGAGTGAGCTATCAGCTGAGTGCCCTTCCATTTTTAGACACTAGTGGGTATGTAAACAAAAAAATTTTTGTTGCATTTTTGATTGTTTTACGTGCAACGTATTGGTTTATACCATAATTAAACAATGTTTCCGCGTGGAAAAAAATATTTTTCCCTGAAAAATATGGGGGGACCAATTTATAGATTTTTCCAAGAAAAGAACTCCAAAGTCCGTTTTTCTTTTAAATTTTGCTAACCTGTATAAGCATATTCTGAAACATTAAAAATCATTTGCAAATGGAGCAACTAGAAAGAAATTTCGTCATGTCTGTTTTCGATTTTTGCTTGGCAACGTGAACGCTGGCAAAAAAACTACGTCCATAAACATGCATATGTTTCCAATTTGTCTCGTTTTGCATCCACCAAAAATTTGTTCCCTCCAATTTCCTATTATATTCTAGATATTAGAGGAAGGGATTAGCGACTATATGAAGCTGATGGAAAAATATGGGAGGTCGCAATTTCGTTTCTATTCGTCGGTCTTGGTGTTTGAGCATTGAGAACGCCACTTCCTGCGTATTCCATTTCTAATGAAACCATCACCAAGGTTTATTTATTACTAAAAAATTTAAAACAAAAAACGTTAAATGATAAAGAAAACAGTAAATTCTTTACGTCGCGAAACCTTTCTACAACCCACTTTTAACCTAATAGAATTTGTCTCGTTTTTTCAGATTTCTTACTTAATTTATATCACAGACTTTGGAGAAAAAAAAAACACAAAAAACTGGTTGAAGCTAGTTTTTTTTCGCAAGCGGCTTTGGATTTTGAGAGTTTTTTTTTGCCAGGTTTACCAAAATTTATTGTAGCGTGTGAAAAATTTTAACCGAAAAACATTCATTTCCATTGTTTTCCTAGGAAAAAAAGTTGACTAACAAACCTTTCGCTTCAAGACCCATGGAAAAACATTCTCAATACTCATTTAACATTCTTCATATGGGAACTAAATCGTTTTTCGTTATTTTTTTCTATTAAAAATTGTTCAAAATGTTCTCAATGTGACGAGAGAAATGCAGATGTTTTGAATACCATAATTAAAAAAACATTATTCTGAGGGTTAATAGGGTAATGTTAGTGGAGAGAAAAATTCCGCCAATTTTCAATACAATAAATGGCAGTAATCCACAGGCAATTTGACGGATTAATAGATACAGACTACCATTTTGTCAACCCAACCAAATATGTAATATTCTCTCTATTCATTCATTTTTCTCATTTTCGTTTTTGCTAAATCTTTCTAGGTGGTCTTGAAATTGGTTTCAATTTTGCCGATGGAGAACGTATGCCTTTTCAATTTCTCGTGTTCTGTTGACAAAAAAACAGCTATGTGAACGCGGAAAATGCAATAAATTTCATTCCACAATCGAATCAATTTTCCCGCTTTTTTTGGCGTTTTGAATTGAGCAAAGGACCCTAGAAATGCAACATTTCAAATACATATTGCCGACAAATACTGTAGAATTGACTCATGTCAATTGTTTGAAATGAAAAAAAAACGGGAAAACGTTTAGGAATTGTGTATTGACACAGACCCTCGTCCGTCAAAGTATATTCTACACATATACTTCTTTCAAGGTTTCACAGAGCCCGTTTGACATCACTTTGTGTCTTCATCTTTTAAAGGGCACATCTCAAAAATTCATGAAATCAAATTCGTCGCCTATCTATTTATAGATCAGTTACTTTGTGAGTAGGTGTAGGAAAAAGGAATCAATCATTCAGAGTCGATTCGTTAGCAAAATCGCAATCCCTTGATTTTTTTGGTCGTCAACTCATGTGTGTGTTTTTTTTTGTCGTCGCGTTCTCCTCATCATGTTGTTTTTTCTCGTCGGCGTTCACAATCATTTTCAAATCCGTCACGTTTTTTTTCAATCATATATTATTTCAGATTAATTGGTTTTGTTCAACGTTGATGAGCGACTTGCCGAGTTGTCAATGAGAGGTGAGAGCGCTATTGAAATTTTGATGCATATGCGGACGTTTGCATGATGTTCAACAATACCGGAATGATGGGAAAAGAATTGTCGTGGAAGTCTCGTATTTGCATTTTACCTGTGTTGATGCAACATATTGGGGGGGGGTGGCTCGAGCACTTCACAAATATTTGCTTGCTTTTCCACAGCCTCAACCTTTTCATATGTTTTTTTCGAAATCGCCGTCCTACCCAAATTTCCATTTTAATAAAGTTCCAATTTGATTGGATCTATGTAGCGCTGACAAATGAAAGGTTTGTTGTTTTTCGTTTACACATGTGTGTTGTTCACTGAATGCTGTTGCACAGAACCTCGCGTTCTTTCTTCATTTCTTCTCTCACACATTTTTTTTGTTCGAATTCATCTTTGGTTTGGTCTTGTCTGTGGTTTGACGGTTTCGCACCAGAATACGCACATTCTTATGCATGGAATGCTGTTGCAAATGTGCTAGCTGGTATGTGACGCCATACGCGTCGGACACTGGCGTGTTTCTCGTCACATCGCCCTCCTTATATATCCCTTCGACCAACGCAGCTTTTCTTAATGGCTGACCACGTATTTTTTTGTCGTAATAGCCTACTTCCTTCTTTGTTTAATTACTTGTTTGTTCTCTGTTTTTCGAGCACTTTGAACTAATCTTATACTCGTTCAAGGGTATTTATTGGCGTTTAGAACAAATTTAACATAAATTTTCATATTTGCGTCCTTCTTTTTGCAGCTCGATTCTATTTAGTACCATGGCTATGGAATAAAATGGCATTCATGAAACGGAAGACCGTCAAATTTTTAGTTGATATACAGGTAATTTTTGAATATTTTTGAGAAAATATTTAAGAAACTCATTTCAGATATGCAATTTAACCGATGTGCCTTTAGTGAACGCAGTGATCTTCGCGAAACTTCGCTTATTAGAAGGAGGATCGTTTGAAGATACAACGGAAAGAGTCGAAGTAAGCATGTTCAAATTGTTGAGAGACAAACGTTTAGAAAAAAAAGAGGCAGAGTCGATCAATAACAAAATTGTGAATTAGAACGCTTTACGTTTTAAAGAAAATGAAAAATATCCGTTTTTTGTTGATGGAATACTGATCTTTTGAAACTATTAAATGAAATTAGCACAATTCTTATTTGAATTCTATCCGTTTTTTGTAGAAAATAGAGAGCAATTAGCCGAATTACTAAACCGGTTTTGTTTCGTTGGTGGTGAAATAAATCTAAAGCGAAAAATTTTCCAAATCTATTAATTTCAATCAGATTGTATAGACGCGCTTCAACATTATCGGTAGAGAAAGAAAATTAAATTTTTTTAAGTATTTAAAAATGATTTCTAATTTGGAAAACTATGCGGAACCTGAAATTTTCAATATTAAATTGTTGAAACTTAATTATCCTTATAATTGTTTCCTATAAACTTTTTATTAATTGTCGAAATTGAGCAATATAAAAAGTTTTAAAAAATTGGAAAATTCTTTTTAAAGGGATTCTGAAAAATTTTTTTATATTATATACGATTTCTGCAATTTACATTAATTTAACCAGGCAATTTCAGTTTCGATGCATATTTAATAATGACACGCGTATAACTTTCCTCGGGAGCTCTATTTCCTTGTTCTTTAAATTGGATAATTAAGTTAGTCACAGGAAATAGACGTGAAACGAAATTAAAATAAAAGTCCGGTTCTCAAATTGGGACTATTCAAGAAAGAATGTAATTATTTATTGGGATCAAGGCTTTAGAAGTTAGAAATAATTAGTCCTAAATCTTTTATATTGGGCGTGTCCTATCACTGACTGACTCATCAGTTGGATTCATTAAAACAATATTCAAGACGTATAGAGGAGATAAAAATTAAAAATTCAATAAAGTTGTGTGGTCATAGTTTATATTGGAGAAACGTTCACGACAATGAAAGCCAATTTGTTTATATTTCCCATGCCATATATGCCTATATCATATCAATTTACAGGTTGACAATCATTGCGCTTCATTCTCCCATCGAACGGTTTTTTCATGTCGAATACCTTGTGACCAAGCGTCCGGAACACTTGAAAAATGCCTTTGTCGAGTTTCGATTCGAAAGGTTTGAGAGATAAATGGCTGAGAATTGTTGCAAATTCGCGATTTGATTTGCAGGAGCAAAAAGGCGGCAAATCGTTCTATAAGCTCGGATATGTTGATATCAACTTGTCCGAGTTTGCTGCGTCAGGTGTTGAGGGCATTTCTAGGTCCTACTTGTTAAATGGTTACACTACTAATCAACGATTAGATAATTCAAAAGTCTGTGTCAAAGTTGTAATGTGTCATCAGAGTGCGGACCCATTCTTTCGAGTGTAAGAACATTAAATCACAATAATTGATTGAAAATTTGCATTTTTGCAGACCTCGCAACAATCATTTGGGAGGCGTTGAAGATGGTTCCTTGAATCCTGAAGCTTATAAAGCATTAGATGTCGCCGATGATGATTCAGATGAGGCTCTGGCTTTGCCAAGTAAAACAACTAATGAAGGTTGTTCGAGTAGTATTTCATGATAAATAATAAAAATTGTCATTTTTTAGAATGTACAAGCTATGGAAGTTCATCGATGCCTGAAGATGGTCAACCTGTTGAAAGAAAAAACACTCATGTACAGAATAAAGACCAAATTGCTGTTCAATTGCGGAGGTTCAGTCAGGATCGATCAGCTCAGCGGATTCAGAACACCCGGTAATTTGAGAAAAAGATCAAACATTCAGTCGAAACATCATAACCATGATGTCATTTTCAATATTTCAAGTACCCAAGCAACCCACTTCAACAGCCAGCTAAAAGTTTATAATGAGGGTCGTTGCATTTATTTTGTGTCTAGGAAGCTGAGGGACAGTGGTTGAACTTTAAGCTAAGGGAGTGTCATTGAAAAAATCCAAGTTGCAAATTTCAAGTCCGTGTTTCTTTTAATTTTTTTTAAATATTTGTATTTGTACAATTTTGACGCAAAGGTAAAAATATTCTAACTGTTTATCATGTTGGCCAAAAATTGCCAAAAAAAACGTGACCCTACACACTGCAAACTTTAGAATCTTGCCATCTTTCAATGAACAAAACGTATTTGCTCACCAAAAAAAATAAGGTGCCGAATTATCAATTGTTATCAATTTTCAGGATTGATGCTGATGGCGTTATCGATAAGGTGATTGCCGAATGCCGAATATCGCAACAGGAAACGTTTCCAAATGACAATCAAGGACTATCATTGGAGAAATTCTTGGATCGAAATGGGAAGCCGCTGCTGAGCAAGTACGCCAACAAACGCTTCTCGTACACCTCCGAGCATATTCGCGACGAGTCTGTCTAATGATCAGCGTTCAAATTATCCCTTTCCCCATCCCTACTCACCTAACATAACGGTTCCTTCGAATTATCATTATTTTGATTATGGATGTGCCGAATTCCTGGTTTTGCAAGTGTGTCGAACTATCGGGTTGAAATCCACTGTTTTGTCTGTTTCCATTCATTTTGCATTCTCTTTGTAATAATAAAGCTTCTATGAAATTACAACTTTATTTAAAAAATGACAATCGAACGTTGCTTAAGAAATAGAAACCAACACACAAAATATTAATGAACCAGAAGGTAGGAAAAAATCAGGGTCAGGTTACGAGAAACCCATAGATCGGGGAAAATGAATTTGGATATGATACTAATAAAAATGTTTTAAGAATTTGACGATGGACTTAGATGAAAACCTACACTATCAGAAGGAAAAGTGCAAAAGCAAAACAAAATGAATAAGTCAATAAAATAAATTACGCTAAGATTCTGGCAAATTTAAAAATAGAATAAATGCTGCTTTCACAGGGAGCCTCTGATTAAATTGCGGTCTACCATCTCTTCTTGTAGTCGTCAACCGAAACGCCTCCAGGTCCATAAGCAATAACAAGAAGTAGTCCCCCGATGACCGACATGGTTTGGAAGAAATCGTATTTCATGAAATCTCTGTAGAAGCGATCGGCTGGGACGGACCACCAAGCATTAAGCCACATGTTAAGCCCAAAGAGCCAAACGACAAGGAGCATCGCGGAGAGCTTGGTCTTGTATCCAATCGAGACGAGAGTGATGAGCGCGAATCCAACGACAATCTCGACAACCTGCAAAGCAATATAGAGTTGAACTATGTTCATACACCAACCTGCATGAAAGTCATTTCGAAGTGCATCAACGACATGAACATGAAGATGAGAAGAATGCGTCCGGCGAGAAGCATGTACGATTTTGGTTTATTGGTGTCGCCCATGGTTGGAACTCCAGCAAACAACGAGCTCTTCTCTTCCTGGGTCTCGGCAAGAAGGAGGACGAGCCCACCACCGACTGCGATATTTCTAGCCAAGAACTTCAAATCCCAGAGAATATGGTAAGCAACGGTTTGAAGGAAAACGATGGATCCGAGGACAGCGATGGCGATGACAACCTGAAATTAAAATGATTTTATAATAAAACATTGAAGAAAGAGTGAGATCTTGCCTTCTTGCGGACCATGATCATGACAACCGGAAGGAATTGCCCGAAGAAGTTGTAGATGACGAACAATGTTGCCAAGAACCATCCACACGACCACGACTCCTGCATAAACTGTCTCTGATCATCCCATTGGAAATACATGCGAATGCCATCTTCTAAAAACGTCGAAAGTAGGAAAAGACGAGCAATATGCGGAAGGTATGTCCGAGTCTTGCGGTAGAGCTGAAAAAAAGCGAAATGATTAAATTAATTCGTCTCAAGAATGACTGTCCACTCACATCATCAGCGATGTCTTCCGCTTTGGAGAGCATTTCGTTTTGTCCTGGTTGGCGAAATTGGTTCATGGTTCGACGCGATTATATATCACCTGAAATGAAATGAGTAAATTGGTGAGATAAATCTGTAATGCGAATAATGTGAACAAATAAAATAGCGGTGACACGATTGCATCAGATTAGGAGGGATATGAGACAAATTGAAAAAAAAAGAACACATACACAATGTGAACTGCAAGAGTCTGAGAATGAATGAACACGTGGAGTGTGCACTTTACGACCCGTCATTCTATTTTCTTTCGCCCTCTGCGTTTCTTTCATTATATGCACCCAATATATCTCTTTAATGCTGGAGGTTTGGGGTCATCCAATCAATATAGTCATCAATCTAGCCACATTTCTAAATTATTTTTGCAAAAATGCACGTCCGCTGTCCAATTTTCTCCAAGAGGGTGAAGTGGCCATTGATGCTCGCGCGAGGGCACACAACAACGAAAAAAACTAAACGCAATGATTATTCGGAAAATTCGATAATTAATGTGATATGTATAAATAATGAAAAACGATGGAAACAGCGTCAAAGCAAGCAAAAGCAAACATTGAGCGGTCACGACTTTTTGTTTATAAACGCGTTGCATATATTTGAACGCTTGAATAATCAAACGAGCCGTTTTGGCGGAAAAAAATGCTGGACGATTAACACGTTTTACAGGCCATTTCGAATACGTGTAACTCGTAAAAGTTTGATATCGTCATCACGTCTCGCATTAGGAAATGTGATGATATGAAGCTTCAAGGGTCGGGAATATCTAAACCACGAAATAATCGAACCACACGCTGCTTTTATCTCCAATGGAAATCTGAAGGAGAGGAAACAGGTTTTTGGCTACACGGCACGGATCATCATTGCAGCATTCAAACGAGGTGGCATCTACCTATTCTAAAGCTTACTTTTTTTCTTACCTTTATCGTAACTAACCATTCTTGGATATTCGACAACAAACCTATTTTACAAATATAACAACTATCTACGTGAGTGCGGAGAAAATAGAAACGCAGTTCCAACCAAGCAAGAAAAAAGCGAAATGATTCTGAATCTATGGTATAAATGGGAGTGCAAGAAAAGAGGACCGCAACGCGGCCGCTCGCGAGCTGATGTGTTTCTTGTTTATTGGAAAAACAATATCGGCAAAAATATGTGCGTTGGCAGAAACGTTCTGCACAAATCGTTGCGTTGATTTCAATAGTCGTGAAATTGGTTGAAGGCGTGACGAACGCAAATATTAGCAAATAATTTTCAAATCTTGAATCACTCATTGGAATTAAATACCAAAAGTAGGCTGAAAACCTACGAGAAATATAAATAATTAATCGAATTATTCGGCAAAGACGTCGTATTCACCAAATTTACACGTCACTCAACAACATCACGCGAAACGCGTCATGATAAACGGGTGTTGACGCATTTCGCGGCTCGCCGAAGTTTCTTCTATTTAACCAAAACATATTTAATATTACACTGTTGGCATTGCTTTTTTTGTCTTACACGCTGCTCGACGATTCCAAGTTTTTTGGCGAAATTGCCTTAAATTTAAATCCATCGCTTAATTGGCTATTATTTTCCATTGACCACACTTCGATTTATGAATAAATGTTAGACTATTCGCATTTGGTCCAAACAGATTTTGATATTTTTGCCATCGTGGAAAATTGATTCGATTTGCGGAGCTAATTCTCCCGTAGATTGCTTTTCTTCTAGACATCATAGATTGTCCCATTTAGCTTTGTTATGCGCCGTGCACCAATTGGATATCTTTACTCTCTCAACGACAACTCATTTCCTAGCAATTTTTTTCCTTTTCAATCAGCTTCGATGAGCTTCTCATTCGCTTTGCATTCGCTTTGCATTCGCTTTGCATTCGCTTTTCATTTAGATTAGTATACACAGACACATATATCCCACGCCTTTTTTATTCATTAAGTCGCAACTCGCCTTCATTAGTATCTTCACACATACATACATCCATATTTGATTTCAGCATGGCGTTTGCCCGAGCACTTGGAGTGATTCAATCTGTGGGCCGATCATCGGGTAATTTGGATCAAACCGAGTTATATGATCGCGGTCAGACATTTAACATCAATGGAAATAATTATAGAGTGGAGAATGTTATAGCTAAAGGTTGGATTTCTAGAAGTTTTCGATCGTTAATATAAAAAAAAATGTTTTGCAGGCGGATTTGGGACAGTTTTTCTGGCGACTAATTCAAAAGGCAAGCAAGTTGCCGTTAAAATTCTTCTAAGTCATGACGCATCAGCGACAAAAGACATTGACAATGAGATTTATATGATGAAAAAGGTATTTTGACCGCAAAAAACGCCAAACTATTAATTATTCTTAAGTACACTCACGATAACATTGTTCAATTATATGACGCTTCATGTGAAAATCGCGGGACTAGCAAATGTGTGAAAGAATATAGAATATCGATGGAATATTGTAGATGTTAGCTGATTTTGATTCACGAATTCAAGTGTTCAAATATGCCTCATTTTCAGACTCGATAGTAGATGTTCTTCAGAAATATAAAGAGGTTACGACGTCATTCGTTGTGCGCGTCATACTTTATACTACGAGGGCATTGGCATTTTTGCATGAAGCTGGAGTCATTCATAGGGATGTCAAGGCGGAAAATTTGTTGATTAATGCGAATGGTAATTTTGATGTTTTTAAAAGTTGTAAGATACAGGATTTTAAATAATTCAAATCATATGACAGTGAGTTTTAGTATTTTGGAGAAAAAATTCAAAAGTTCAAAAGTGACAACCCACAAATATTGAGTCAATTAGGCGGGGGGAAACCCATGCATTACAAATTTTTGCACATATGTTGAAACGCGACGCCCAATCCATCAAGTTCCAGAAATTTGTTTTCAGGTCGCCTCAAATTATGTGATTTTGGAAGTGCGACGACGAATTCGGTGGAAATGTCGCAACTTTCGCACAGCCAACGACTTGCCATTCAAGAAGAAGTAGGCTTTATGAATATTTCAAAAGCACCAATAATAATCAAACGTTTTCCTTTGCTTAATGACATCATTTTGCATGGAAATGTGAGAATAAAAATTGACAAATGTCGGGGGATGAATGAATGATTCTTGTAAGCAAACGAAAAATTAGAATAATAGAGTCTTATAATTTTTGTTGTAACCATTTGAACCTTGTTTTATGAGAAGAAAAAGCTATCATGTCGATTTTGCACATTTTGAAACAAGAAAAATTCGATTCATTATAAATAATTCAAAAAAATCGTTAAATAGTTAGAATTCAGAAAAAATTTTTACCCTTGACACGTGATTATAATAAAGTATATTTTTGAAAAAGTTCAAATTCATTTTACATGAAAATCGTTGCGAACGATTTGATTGATTTAGATTTATCGCTATACTACGCCGATCACGAGATCTCCAGAAGTCTGCGACGTTTATTCAAATTGGCCCATCGGCAAAGAACAAGACACTTGGGTATTTGAACTATCATTTTTTTTTTGTTATTCAACTTTTATTTCTAGGCGTTAGGATGCTTAATTTATTTTGTTTGTTTTGGTGAACACCCATTCGATGGTTCGCTATTGGCGATTATCAATGGAAAGTACAAAGCACCACCAACGCCACAGCAAAACGAGCTAGGAATTTTCTCAGGACTTATTCGTAAGACATCTTAACTGATTTCGTGGAATTTAGTATATTTCAGAGAAATGCCTGATGCCAAACCCGCTGGAGCGCATCTCCGATACGCAAATCGTTCACGCAATGGATAAACTCGCTGAGAGATTGTCGATGCCACCGAATCAGAGCTTTTCTGATATTTTAGAGTTTATGAAGATTGCTGATAGTCAGCAAAACGCGGTAAAATCAATATTTTCTATAAACTTGCCAACCAAAATAAAAATAACTTGCAGGAATCCGATGCCCCTGTTAGTAAATCTTTTCTCAATATGCAAGACAAGCTGTTTTCGAATTTGGCACAACTCAAGCAAACCGTAGTTCAGACAACTAATAAGGTATATGAGTAAATTATGGGCAACTTTCTTTCAATTTTTGATTCCAAAGTTTCAAATTTGATGCTATCGATAGATCATATTGCATTTGTGTAAATTAGAGCCAATCGAGAAAAATGACATCCGACTTTTGTCGCCCACTGAAAACTTTTTAGAAAAAATCAATCTGAAAAATTGATGAAATATAATTGTTTCCTGATAAATGTTGTTCACAAAAATAATTAATTTGAGATTGGAAATTGGACATTTGATGGAGCCAATGATTCGCCACGCGAGCGAAAATCCTCATCGGCACGCTCTTCATCTACGGCTCAATCGCCAGTTTCGATGCCAAAACCAACGGTGAAGCCAGTGAATCAACCATTCGAAGCCAAATGGCCTTCAAACAATTCGCATGTTGATGTTCCGTGCGATTGGGGAGATTTTAAGCAAGCCGCACAGCAAGGTCCGAAAAAGAGCGAACCGGTTTTCGATCCGTTTGGAAATCATGGCCATTCAAACAACAAAAGTGAATTTTTTTCTAAATTAAAAAAAAATTCATTTTGAAATCGACGTGCAGAAAATTTGTATTTTGAAAAGAATTCTCACTAAATACATATTAATATGCTAATATTTCAGCGTCTGATGACTTGCTTTCCCTCCAAAACTGGCCGGGCGTCGGTATGTAAATCTATATGTGTTGCGACAACTGACTATACGAATATTGCAGCTCCATCTAAGTCGAGCCAAGTGCCGGAAGCGCGCGCTCAATCATCGCGAGATTTGCTGGATTTTGATGACCTCGCCGCACGACACACGACGACAAATGTAACAGGTAATTGGACTATACGAATATGATTCATCTTGTCTTATCTCGCAGCTTTACAACCGACAACAGCAAAGTCGCCGAAAAACAAAGATACGGGCATGGTGAAGTCGGAAGAGGCGATCAAGACCAACTCATCCTCGTCAGCAAGTTTGGATGAGATGATTCATAGTATGATGAAAGTTTCGTCACCGAAAAGAAATAATTAAATGTTTATTAAACAAAAAAAGTTGCATTATGTTGAATATTTGTTTGGTGCCATTTATCGGCTTTGATTGAATTTCTAAAAATTTACCTTCTTTCCTCCCAGTTTCTACGAGTACAGCGCTCCGTTTATACATTGTCATCATTCCAGCCGCCCCCCCTTTTTTTCTCTCTACAACAAGTTTAACTGGAACGTTTTTTTTTATTATCTCGCGAATAAATCATTATAATTATTAATAATAACGACGTGATATGTGTATACGAGGAAAAACGATTTCGGGCGATCCGACGAACGCTGACCTACTTCTGAAGTCGTCGCCAAAGCAATCATAACGCTTTGTATGGCAGAGATGCTGAAACATATTCTGATTTTGGCGATTTTCTTCCCAATCATTACCGTTGGATACAAGTCGAAGCAGGTTCCCAATTTACTTAAAAAGAATGTGGATAACAGTATTGCTTGCGACTTCTCTATTCATAAACATGGACCAAATGGGGTAGCAGTGATGGGTAAGTATTCCATAGTAGCCTATATAGTTGTCATGTTGAATTGTAGGAACTTCTCTCGACGACGAACTTTATTATAAGATTAAATGCAAACCTTTGGCCAACAACTGCCTTCAAGTGGTTAATTGCACATTGAGCAGCGATGAGCCCGGATTCAAACCATACCCAATAATCGACGAGAATGGTTGCAGTTTGGATGATTCGTTGTTCAAACATGTCACGGTATTTTCAACAAACATCCCCCTTTAACGAATTTCGTACAAATTTTATAGTATGTAAGCAACTTTGAGGCCGGCATCTTCAATCCGTTCCCAATTCGATTCCGAGCCTCATCGTCGGCCGTTGTACTGTTCTGTGTCACATCGGTGGTTCCCGTTGAGAATGGCAAGTGTACTCGAAGAGAATGCGTCTAATTTTCAGTTCGAGTATTTATCAAGTTTCGGCATTCACGGCCGTTTGATCAATTTATTTCATTCATTCGCATTTTCATACTGGCTTCGATACATGTATAATCCTTATGAATATTTATGTTTTTTTTATAAATGACTGGTTTTCGACGAGAGTTGCAACCTTTTGACATTTTACAGCTGATTTCACACCTGATTGTTCTCATTTTTTTTGATGATGTGTCGGGTTACATAACATCGGGTATATCTTGATGTGTAAAAGCGAAATGGATCGATCGATTACTGGCGCATGGAAAATTTGCGAATCCGTAGTCGACCGCTCAAATCCCGATTTGACCGGTTTTTCGCCTCCACAAAATAGGGGGGGATATCTGGAGATGGGTGTTCTCAATAATATTTTTACATGAAATTGAACCGCGATTATTCAAATATCTCGCTTCACACATTCACGATTTATGCAGCTTTTTCTACAAAATCTTTCGAATCCTGTTCTCTGATGAGTGTATGAGGTGTTTGTCAGCAACCAATTTAACCTCCTCCCCCCCCTCCCCTCTTCTCTCAGATATCCCCATTTTTACTCATCATTTTTATCAATCAAATTCAATTGGGCGATCAATGTGATCTTTTGACGTTTTATTTCGATCCGATTGCGTTCTATTCGGGTCACCTTATTTTCTTGCCGCTAATTGCTTTCGCACCATTTACATCAACAGTTATTTTCCAGATAAATGCGCATTCGATTGCTACTTTTTGTGGGCTTATGTGTTGCACAGTGCTCATGCGAAATACGTGAAAAGAGACAACGTGAGTATCTCTTTTGTACTTTTGTTTAGTTTGAGAGGGTTTAACTCAAAAACAAATGAAAAGGAGTCATTTTGAATGAATTCTTCTTGCTGTAAAGCAGTTCCTTTAACTAATTGAATCTTGATAGTGTTGTGATAGTGAACACTCCCCAAATTACAACAACTTCTAGAAAAATCGGTTTGAAACGTTTTTTTGAATAATAATTTATTTTAACCAGGCTTTATTACATCTTGTCCCATGCTTCATGTTTTGACTAAAAAAAACAAAAAAATTAGTAGCTTTTGTTGTTTTCTCGCTTGATCGCCACAGAAAACAATGTTGAAAAAACTTGTTTCAGCAACTTGTCAACCATAAAACTTTCAATTTCAGTTACAATCGATGATATTATTTCCGGAGCGTTGAATTTGGTTCGTCCAATATTTGACACTTCCAAACCAATTGTTAATGAGGGAATGCTTAAAAAACCGGTACACGCAAATAATGTTATCATTGTGTTATCATAATTGCTTTTAGGCTATTCCGACACAAGACGATATGAGAGATACATCGATCCTAGGTTCACGCTCAAGGACAGCGCTCGATGATTTACCATTGTGTAAAGGGAATAGTGGGCAAGTTGCTGAACATTCTAGAAGAATTAATGAAGGTTTAAATTGGCTACAGAATTTGTCGATTCATTTCATGTTCCGCTGACAATTTCAAAAAGGATCCCACATTTTCGAATCTGCAATTAGCCGCGCAGGTTATTGGCGATGCGAAACTTCGAAAAACGATCAGCGCGTATGATTGATATCATATAAATTAGCATAGTTTGACATAATCTTTATAGGAACCCTGAAGCTGTTACAACGGTTTGCAAAGAACAGGGACTGGATGACGATCAATGCAAGTTGTTTTCGAAAGGATTCCAAATCATCGACAAGTATGAAAATGCCCGAAAATAGGACTGAAATAGACGCAAGTTTAGAGTTATAACAACAATTGAAAAACCAGATTCCAAAGAGCCGGAGAAGCCGGCTCAAACGGAAGATACCGCGTCACCCGAATCGCACCAGGCTCCACAAATGGATGACCCGTCGATTCCACAAAACGACGAAAATTTGAAGAGTTGGGCGGATTATGATATAAATGCGCCAGCTCCGCCGTCACATCAAACCGCGCTTGGCTCAAAAACGTGGAGCAGTAATCCCGATTCAAGTTAGTATATCGATATATTTGCAAATAGAAAAATTGCTCTCCGAAAATTATTGAACAGCAAAATTGGGATTTGTTAGGAAGCTACTATAAAGAACACAACCCATTTTTAGGGTATTTTTTTTTGAATTATCAGTCTTTAAAAAACTCACTATTAAGCAGTTAACATTTCATACACCTTGGAACGACATCAGAGGTCAACACACTTTTGTTCGTTGGATTTAATGAGATAATCTTACCCAAAATTAAAAATTAACTGTTGTTTTTCACAGCAACCTTAATTTTTTTAAAAATAATCTCGCAAAATTTCCAGTTACGTGAATACATAAATTTCATAGGAACTCTTCAACCACTGGAAATTCGAAACGATCTGATTTCAAGTTGGACGCCTATTCCATTTTTGGCGCCTCCAACCATTCCGCCAGCACCGCCGCTTGCGTTCAAAACCGTTCCATCATTCGTCCTTCCACCCATTAAAGTTCCAAATTTGGACAATGGATTTTTCTTCTCAACCGACAAATTCAATTTCAACAACAAAGTAAGTTTAAAGGAAATTAATTAAAAAAAAAATACTTTAATACCTTTTAGGACGACAATACGATCAAGAGATTCCGAAGAGACACGGATTATTATGACGACGTGAAGGAAAAGAAGCCGGAAGGTAACTATTCCAAATATATTTTCAATCATTATCAAGACGTTGTCACGAATTTTAGCGTTTACAGAGTCCGCCATCTCTGAGCATTCATCTGGCACTGATACCGACTATTATGGAACATTTGACGACGATGAAAGCAAAAAAGTGGAAGAGCCTCCATCAGGATTGAAGCAGTGTGTGCACCTGCTGGGAATTGGCGTCTAGGTTTAATTGTTAATTTGTTTTGAATCAAACCGTTCCCAGCTTTCTGTATGTAATATGTAAACGGGTTCTACATCATTCTCAAAAAAAAAAGGCTTATAATAAAACAATAATTTTCTCTTGTTGGTTTTTGTACGAGACAATTGGAGCAATTTTCGTCGCCGCCGTCCCACACGTTTTCCGTTTACATGAAACAGACGATAAGGAAGTGCGCCTGATGAACCGTTGTAAATGCGAAAAGTGCTGTCGCCGTCGGTGGTAGGGACCAACGAATGAAAAGATTTTTTTTTAGGTTGCCGCCGTCTTACATGCTTACATATTCGTGCCAAATCAACGGGAAAAATAATAGAACGATGATGGAAAAAAGGAATGTATACTTTTTCGTGGGTGATGGATATACAGCATTATGCAAGACTGACGATTGTGATGAGAGACGTGCAATCACGTCCTTCATCGAACAAAACGATTGTGCATTTCCTTCCGTCGCCCAGCTATATTCCGTCTGTCTTGTACCTTACCAGTAATTGAGCGCTTCCTCCCACCGACGGCGACATTCCCGCCCATTCTCCCCCTCTCAACAAAAAAGCTACATTATTCATATGTTACCAATGCGATTGTTATTATTATTCTCTCCTCATTCTTCGTGTACAAGTCTTGTATAATACCTGTATACGGTAGATTTCTTTGATTATTTTTATATTTTGTACTAACTTGGTGAACGATTCAAATATATAGCAACTTTTTGCTTCAATTTTTTAATTGATTTCTAATTCCTCAGATTCTCGATAACTTCTAGAAAATAGGAAAAAACTCCTCTTCTTTGCAGAATTCATGCCTGTCATATTAAATCTCTTATAAAAAGGAAATATTCAATATTCAGCGCTATTCGCTGACCTCTGTTTAAAATTCATTAAACCTAACACTCAATCCTTCTCAGCAAATATTTGATCTTTCAAAAAATAGTAATCAGAATGCATGAATACAAATAAAATCATTATAAAACTCTCAGGTGACATTTCAAATCCAATTCTTCTTTCATCTCGTTTCGTGTGTTTCGTTTCTTCTTTCTATTCAACTTTTTCATATTGTTGCTTGTTGCAGTAAGCTTGGCAACTTCCTTCCAAAAAATTTTCGCGATGGATGACGATGTAAGAAATTGCTTTTCGAAAACAATTCTTTTCAACACATTCTTTTTATTCCAGATGGACTCTGACCTTTATGACCGTGTTAGCTATTTGAACTTGATGAATAAGCTTGATGATCGCAAGAAAAGAATTGGCAAATTTCGGGACGAGTAAGACATTTATTACGTTCATTATTATTTACATGTGAATCACATTTGTCAAAAAAAAAACCGCGTTTTAGTTATTTACCTGCATTCATCTAGGAAACCACTGATTTTTCTACTTCAGCCAAACATAAGTGACTTCCGGAAGAGAGATTCTATTGTTTGGCTAATAGCGAATTCCTACATTTTTTTATAGATGTTGTGCTAGTTTAGAACATTTTTTTGTTTCGAAATGTTCATGTTAACAATTATCACTTAGATTTGTTTTTCGTTAAATGCTCAATATATGTAGTGGTGTGAAATGCTTGACTAAATGAAATAATTTTTACTTGATATGAAAAGATCTTATCAATTTGACATCAACTTTGAAAAACTGAATTATGATGTTTTAATAAGCCAATATTTTAATTATCGTATAGATTCAAGGAATTCAATAATTTAAATTGAGGATTTGCAACCCAAAAAAAATTTCACATTTTTTTCGATTCTGAGAAATAAGATTGTAAAATAAGTAATTTGACCGTGTCTCCTCAGTATAATGATCTAGAATTTCGATATTTAAAAATTGTCCTACATCTGCAAAATGTTTGAGCGATTTTTAACATTTCAGAAGCGATTGGAATGTGTTTTGGATTGCACGTATTAATATTTTGACCTGATTCTCGTATAATGCCCTCATTTGCTGCCATAGTACTTTCAAATCGTAGACTTGATCCTTCACGTTTGCATCCTTTGACGCAACATTTTTGCCATTGCTTATTGAGCACTAGCATAATGGTAAAGTCAGAGCAACGTAAAAAAAAGTTTTGGCAGTCAGTCGAAGATAGCTTTCTTTCTTTATTTAAGAGCATTTTTGCCTCAACAAACCTTCATTCAACCATAGGATTATTGCGTGGCGCCTCTAAAAAGGTGAGCGGGCGGAAGACGCGATTGTGCATTTGCTCGGCGCTCCTGAAAAAAAAAGAAGTCAACGGTGGTTTTTTTCTTCGTCGCACCACATCTCGCCCTCCCCAACTTTGGCGGCAGACATTGGTTGGCAGTCAGCGAACCATTCAAGTGCAGTTCAATTCCGAAAAAAAACCTGCCAGCAATCCAACCGCGATTAATTGAGCTGAGTTCAGTGTGTTTGAATGCCGCGGGCTCGATCGCGCCCGATTTCGCGAACGTCTAAAAAATCGTATCTATTCTCTAGTTCTGAAGATGACGCCGCGCATTGTAATCAATTCGGTATGTGATATATATTAGGAAAGCAACAAAAAAATCATCATTGAATGATTACTAATTTTGACCTTCCCCGTCCCTCAATCTCGTCCAATGGAAAATGCGAGGGAAGGCAATTAGAAGTTGTTTCGAAAATCTAGTGGCCCCCTGCAATTTTCTATATATCATAAAGAACGAATTGAAATGGGGCACAAAAGAACTTGAATGGCGACATTTGTTTTCGTTTTTTTTACTACCACCCTCGCAGCCTTATTTCGTAGACCCACTCCAGATTTCGGAATCGACTGCTGAAATTTTAGTTGAATTTTGTAACCTTCTCATATTTCTATTATATTAATTTCTTATATTTGGATTACTGTAGTCATATGAACTTCTAAATATTGTTCAAATTCCTAAGCAATATTCAAATTGTGAAGAAAATTTTCTAGATATCGTACTTCCCAAATTCAGCATGTTCTTAATATTATTTTTTTTTGGTCGCGTGCATGATTAAAATTCTAGCGGCTTCATCATCAAGCAGCGGATTCTTACCACCACTCAATTCAAAAGCAGTATCATGGATTGACATGGACGACTATACAATACTTCCAAGTCCTGACGAGGCGCCATTTGACCACAGCGATGACGAGTATTATTCATCAAGGAGACGGCGAACCCGGAAGCCGCCGAAAACTTCGCGCGGTGTCTCCGCTTCCGAATCTATGAATCACATCGCCGATTTCGACTTCAGGTTTTATGAGCATTTAACGAAAATCACTCAATTCGCAGAAAATTATAAGTACATATTGTAAATTTTAATTGTTAATTAAGTTCCGACGCTCCATCTCCACGTCTTGACGCTACCGACGTAATGAGCAGCCCAGTCGATCCTGATATTAAAGTATCTCTTTCTGAAGTTTGAATGTGTATCTATTATTTCAGCGTTATTGGGACAACAGTCTGGATATAACTGACCTCAGCGGCCATGATTTCACTATTTTTAAACAACTTCAGGGCATGCTGGGTATCGAGGTTAATTCGCGGAAATTTTTGGCCAATACAAAACTTTTTACTTTTTTTCAGAACATTTCTTTTGAAACTCTTGCTCGTTTCAACGTTCGAGTTCACTCTGACACCTATGGACAGCCAGCCATCTTGTTTCCAAGATACCGCGGAATGACATCGCGACTCCGCATTCCAATGGGATTGAAGCTTATTAGAAAGGTTGGAGATCGTATGGAGAAGGAGAATTACCCATTGCCCGATGAAACATCGTAGGATCATTGGATACTTTTTAGTTTATTTTTTAAATCTATTTCAAGCATCCGTCAAAAGTTTAGTGGAATCTTCGGACTCCACATGGCGACACTTTCGGATCGCAGTGTTGTGATCACTACTAATGAACGCGACGCTCTCGCTATCTATGAGGCAACCAAAGCATTGGTGTTTGCATTGCCACAGGGCGAAATTCTTGATCCGCTAGTGATCCCTTATTTGGAGGAGTTCGACAAGGTCTACTTGTGGTTTCCCGTTCAGCATGTGAGCTATGCAAAAGATTGGGGCACCGCGTTGAATGCTCTTAAATGCCTCCTAGTCAAGTAATAAATCATTGGGGTGGAGAAAAATGTGTGTAAAGTATATTATTTAAAGGAATGAGGAGAGACCAATTGAGCTTGTTCGTAATGGTGATCATCGTCTCATTCGCAGTTCGCTCGCAAATTCGGTTTCCAATTTTCATTGACCAATTCTTATTGGGAGGGTTTTAGATTGTTCGCGTACGCGAGCGCGGATTCAGATCAATGACGGACCTTGACGTTCGCGAGGGAGTTCGCTCTGACATTTTGAACAGCTCCAGCCGCAGCATCGGATTCGGACAGTGGATGCGTTTCGCTGTCCTCAATAAATATTTGGGAGGATTGCGTCCTGGCGAGATGACTGTGCTCACCGGTGGAACAGGAAACGGAAAAACGACATTCCTTTGCGAATATTCCTTGGATTTGTTTACACAGGGCGTATGTATAATTGGTTAATTATTCCCCCCACTGAGCCATCGCGATTTAGATAAGAACCCTTTTCTGCAGTTTCGAAATGCCCGAAAAGAAAATTCTGCACTGGATGCTAATCCAGTACGCTGGGTAAGTAGTGATCGGCTCAAAACAAGCATCCATTCATTTTGATATCTTAATTAACCCGTATTTGTTTTTTTTTTCTGTCTGCAGTCCATCACATCTTCGAAGCCTCGCGCGCACAAATTCCTATAAGAATGGCATCAAGTAAGGGAATTTTAAGCGCACACACCATCGGCACACGTAGATCAAATCATATTGTGGTATCACGCTGAAAACACTATAACGCTTTCATTGGTTTTGTCGTGCGCGGGGCATTTGTATCAGTGTTTCGTTTTTTTTTTTATCGTGATTGTCAGCGTATCTTATTTAATGTTTCGCACGTAATATAATATATAGGCAAATAGCGTTCACAATCTTATTTTCTTCAAACATGCATGCCGATCCAATCCGCCTTCAATTTCAGACTACCACTTCATCGTGTGGAGTACAGCAACTCGATCAATTCATGGTTGGATAGATTTGAGCGCTCAAGCTCGTCATTGACAATGTTGGACTCTGAGGAATTTATGGAGAAGTCGATCAATGAAATCGCTCGCGCTATTCGCATTCATGTGGAGAACAGCGGAATCCAGCACGTTGTCATCGACAATCTTCAATTCCTTATTAATCAAGGAATGATGGCCGATGAGAAGTCGAGCGGACTTGACCGATTCCATCTTCAGGTAAGCATATGAGAAACACACTGATTACTATTAGCAATTCTAGGATCGCTTCGTTGGATATATGCGTCAACTTTCCACTCAACTTCAAATTCATATTACAATGGTGGTGCATCCAAGAAAAGTTGATGTGCGACGCAAAATGATATCGGAATGATTGAAGTTATGAGAATTTCAGGGAGACGCTGAAATCGACGTTCAACACTTTGGAGGATCGGCGAGAGTCACTCAAGAAGCCGACAATGTTCTCGCCATTCAGCGCAAAAGAGATGATCGCCACAGATCGAAATTCCGCAAATTCCTTTATGTAATCATGCAGATACCTCAATTTCAGTAACTGTGATGCTATTTTTTAGATTCTTAAAAATCGCTATTATGGCCGTCGAGTTGAAAGCGAGCAACTCGAGATGGTCTTCAATCCATCGACTTACTCACACACTATTGTGGAGTTCCCAAAATAAACAAGCTTCTACGTAGTGCACGCATCGTCAATCTCTTTCATTCATTTCTTTCACAATATACAATCTATCTTTTACCCCCCCCCCTCTCATACAAGGTAGTGTCGTCAGCTCTTTGTAGTGAAATAATGCTTTAACCCGTCTTTCGGATTAATTCTATATGTTATTTGTGCTTCGATCGTCTCAAAAATTATTATTGTATTTATACATTTTTATTAATGTTAATGAAATAAAATAACCAGCTATTTAATAAATTATTACGTAATTCTGTTGAGCCTTGGAATTATTCATTATGTTTGCGTTGGTCACATTTTTTTCCTTGGTTGTGGCGGTGCCGAAGGTAATATTCGAATCTGTGGCTGAACAGAATGGGCTCAAAAATTTGAATTGTTCGTAAGACTTACAATTGGAGTGTATTCACAGCAAGGTGGATCGTTACTGTCTGATCCAACTGCCAGAACCGTCAGTCCAAGGAAGATGACAATTCTGAAAATATTCAATATTGTTTTGCCAGTAGTGTGAGTTCCATTGTTCAGCGCACAATGTAATTTTTGTTGACTTGAAACCCAAAAAACTGGAAAAAATGAGGAAAAAGTCTTATTTTTTTCTGTTGTTATTTTCTCAAGTGTTACGTTCGTATATAATGGGACCCCCGCGAAGACGACATGCTACGAGAGCGCGCGCGTTTTACCTTTGAATAATTCACGCTTCAACTTGCTTCTTTTTTCTTTTCAACTAACCACTTTGCCCATTTTTTTTGCGCTCGCGAGCGTGCTCTCCTACCGCCTTAAAGAAAGAAAGAACACTAGCCAAGAAAAAGTGGCAAACTCGTGCGCGCGAAAATGAATGCAATAAATTTGGTGCGTGAAAAATTACAATCTAAATGAAATTGGTGTTTCTGCGTCCATTCAATTTAAGTCGTCCAACTTTTGCCTTTTTCGAATGCCATAAATCTAATAGAAAAAAATGAGTGAATGAGAATTAGACTAATTTTACTGGAAAGAATAATATAATTTTTAACATTTTAGACTGACATATTTCAATGACAATAAAGTGAAAATTGTTCCCAAATATTAAATTATCATTTAATTCATTAATAATTTATGATTAAAATGTTTGAATAATTATTTCCCTTATATCCTATAGGTTTATAATTTCGTTCCTCGACAGACTAAAACTTGAGCTTTTTCATTCAATGTGCAACTGAGGCATCAATAAATATATTGCCTGAAGCTTTTCGCACAATTCCATAATCTTCTATGTGTTATCGGCATCAAGCTAATTTTATTCTAGAACAAAATATTAAATCCTTTTACACTAATACATTCCACACCATAATAAACATTTAGAGGCAATGAAAATGTTTGAGTTGTTGCCTAGTTTTGGTTCAAAAAGTAAACGGATATTTAAGAGGGAGTTGAAAAGTCAAAGTTCACATGTAACTATAGTGTTCCCTTTTTACTATAAACTTTTTTCAGAAACAATTTTAGGTGGCTTTCTTAGAAACTGATTAAGCAACACCGCCTGAAAGGTCACCTGTGAAAACTACTAGAATATTCCAAGCAGGTTCAACTAAACGTAAAGAAACAAAAATGGTCAATTTTTGGGAAACTCTTACAAATTTCATTTCTACATATATTTATGGTCATATTCTTTTTAATAATGTAATATCTTACATTGCTAGAGCAAGAATAAACGGTTGATTAAATCCAAGTTGAGATATAACAGCACCCATCAAATCGTTTTCATATGCATGACGTTTTTCTTGATGTGTCCTGAAGAAAATTCTTGAGATCAGTGGAAATGCGGACGAAAAAAAAACATATATATACGGGTAATAAAATAGTAGCGGCGAATGCGAATAAAAATAAAGGGCTTCCCGACGTCGAGAAGTGAGGGGGAAGGATTCGGTGGCTAACAAGCCGATCATATTACATCGAATGCATGTTTTTGTTGATTGAAATAATCGACATTGCCCACCGAAAATAGTAATACGCGTAGTAGAAAAAAAAGCTAAAAGAGCAAAAATTGCAGTGTTTTTAAGTGAATAAATAATTTACTCGTTTGGTTGCTTTATAGCAAAGTGCCTACTATTCAAAAATGCTCGCTTGACTGAGAGTCGATGTAAGTATTTAACAAAAGAAGAGGACGACGAATATGAAGAAAAATAAGAAAATAACGTGTTTTACCGCTATTTCACCTTTACGTTTCCCAATTGACACATTTTGGTTGAAATAACATAACTTGTGACGGATTATGATGAGAATCGTGAAGACAAGATGGCAATTGTTCGTTACACTCACTTCTGAACTAACTCCCTTGCAAAATATCAACGATCAGTAAAATTGAAACTGAGCGAATGAGGTGGCGCCACTTAAACGGGCTAGAAATTGTTATGACTTTTTTCATTTTACGCAACGTTGACTACATGATTTTCAAGCTCATTGGTGAATTCGTTAGTGTCTGAACTCTGGCTGACTAATTGAGAAGGCATGTGTCTGGCGACTTCAGATTTTAGTTGGCTTGAAAACTTACATGCGATTTTTAAAAGTTTTTTTTTACATATAATGAAATTTAATTATTGAAAGGGCTTTTGTTATGATTATATAACTCACTTTATGATTGCGAGCACTCATTTTTTTCATTTCTATGTAATTCTAGAATAAAAATATTCAGGAAATTGAGAATAATTTCCGGGATTACAAATTTGTATGGTCTTGATTTTGGGATTATTGACGAATATAATAAGCAGATTTTCAGAACAAATTGCAAAAAAAGCTCTTTTCCTAGCAAAAGTTTTAAAGCACTAAATTTTTCGTGTCGCATGCTACCTACATGCATTTGTTTTTTGACTTGCCAATTAATTATCCTGTGCACGCGAAGATTCCCAATACTTTTTTGTTTGAAGGGTCGAATCTTGGGGGGGGGGGGAGATAGAAATTGGAGTTACAATAAGACTTAGGTAGATATTCGAAGTTTGATCTACGCAAACACTAAACCTAAAAGCTGTATATTCAATGTCAATAAGTCTATAATAATTTCAGAGCCAATTGAAACGATGTATGTACATAGAAAGAATTAATCGAAACCATTAGGTTAATGTGAATTTCTATTTTAACACATTTGTGGACTCATTAATGTAATAAAAATGCGAAAAATTACACATTTTTCCCTTGCAAGAATATAAAAATGCATTTTTAGTGTAATTTTTACATATTTGCTAAAAAGAAACAACGTACAATTCATGAGTAATAAATTAGGAATTGAGAAGAATTTAACCTGACATTTCAAGGATCTGTAAATAAATAAGTGTAGGGGAAACAAAGTTTCTGAACAAGACGCGAAAACACATTTACATTTTCACTAGAGCCAAAAAAATTTTACTCGCCACAGCAAAAGACGTCATGTATTGTTTTTTTTTTTTTTTTTGAAAAAAACGACAATATGTGCAATTGCTTTTAAACTTTGAAAAATAAATAATTAATTAATTCCAACAAATTACTGTCGGATGAATATTTGGTTAACTATGCAAGATTTTTCCCCAAATTATTTTAAGCAAACTGGGGCTTTAGCACAAAAAAAAGAGGAGTGGTTTCAAGTGCCAACCTCCTCCTTTTTGTGAGCCACTTAATTGTGGATGAGCATGTGAAAAAAGAAGAAAGGAGAAAATTGAACGAGGCCAAAAAATAAAGTATATGCGTAGAAGTATGAGAAAAAATTATAAATGAATATGAGTGATGCGTTGCCGCCTAAGATGCTAATGAAAAATTTCCATTTTTTCGAGCTGCACATCGATTAGCTCGGCGATTCTGAAATTTGAAAGTGAATGATTCATAAAAGGTCGCCGAAAAAAATGAGAATGTCGCTCGCAAAGAGCAACATCTTGCTCCGATTTTCATGAATTTTCGATTTTGATTTTTTTATTTCATTTTTTTTTTGGATTTGCCGTCTCTCATAAAGCATTTTGTAGTTTATAGGCTCATAAAAAACATGTATGTATTCCGTTCTCCAATTGTTCTTTAGAGGTTCCCTCGGCACCAAATCGATTCCCTTATAACAATTTTCCACTAATAAAAAGAAACGCTTCTAATCATCGTCGAGTATTGTTTTGGTCGAGGCAAACTTTTGGTGCAAACACAGTTATCAAGAATCAGCGACGAGCATGAATGCTGATAATCACACCACGGCAACATCATATCGTTGGTTTTCTGGACACCAAAGTGAGCAGGTGGAAAATGTTCGCAAAACTTTATGAATGTATACATGCAATGTAACTATTGATCCGAGGCTAATTAGCCGGCTTTGCACAGCATATTCGGAACTATGAAAAAAGGGGGAAAAGATTAGAAAGAAAGGAAAGAAGATTTTGTTATGTGCGCGACACATAAAAGAGAAGAAGAAGCCACCAAAATGGCGTCTTGATTTCTCAACTACTTATCCATCGAAACCCAATAAGAACATTTTTGAGGAAATGTGAAGTATGTATTAACTAAATGGCGAGGTAGTGTAAAAATGGGTTGACGAATCAAATCGCCTTGGAATTGAGTTGCTCATTTTGCATTCAAGGCTGCTCCGTAATTCAATCACGGTGTTGTGAGGCAGGAGTGAACGAACAAAGTTTACGGATTTTCAGGAAAATTCGCACAACGATGCATTTTGAAATTAGAGGGGGATAGAATAAAATAATTCAAATATATTAAGTATATTTTTCGGTGTGGGATCACAAATATTAATAATTTTTTTCTGAAAATAACCTTCTTATAATTATTTGTGCGAGGTTGATCCGTTGTTTAATGCATTAATCGTGAAAACTCATCATTCATATTTGTGAGAGTTTGAAGAAGGGTGTAAATGGGATTTGTGGGATGTGCGAATAGATTGCGGATTTGAATGTGAGGTTTGAAGTCTTTTCTGCATTAAAAAAATCGCAAATTCTATAAATGCACGTACACATTCCGAAAATTCATATCACATTTACAATTATAATGAAAAATCTCAGTGAA